CAACTTGCTTTTAGGAGGAAGATGCCTGATACTTGCCGCCACCAATCTCTCCCTCTCCATCGAATCCGGCCCCTCCGACTTCGGATCCGACTATGCCAACGATGGTTCCTTCAGATGCTCCTCCCCAATCTATGCCATCTGCGTTGCTTGATTTTATGAATCCTACAGCGATTCGTGCTTTTTTGGAGCAACTACTTCAGCATCGTCCAGACGACCTGCTTTTGCACTCCGTCAGCTCGGATCTTGCCAGCTCCCACCAGTCGCCGGGTCGTCGTTCCCTGGCCTCATCCGTTACTTTCGTCACGCCGTTCTTCTGGTCTCTGTAGCTGAACTCATACTCCTGACGACTCCACTGCTGCCTCCACTTAAGTCAAGCGCCGTCGACAGCTATCGTCGGATCATCATCAGCCGGCAGCGGACCATCGCCTCGTTTCATCGAATCGTCGTCAGCTGTCGTCGGGCCATCGCCAGCTGTCGCCAGGCCATCGCCAGAGATTGCCAGACCGTCGCCAGCAACAGCCAGCATTCACCAGGCCGTCACCAGCGCTCGCCGGATCGCCAGCTATCACCAGGCCGTCACCAGCGCTCGCAGGATCGTTGCCAGCTTTCGTCTGACTTTTGCCAGCCACGTAGGTGGCCGTACAGTCGCCAGGACACCTTTTTGTCTCGCCGACCATTACCTACTCAACATCTGTCTTCTAGCGTCCCGGCACAGAACGCCAGACATCTGGACTCCTCCCTTCCGTCACCTCACCACCCTTCGGATGATGAACAACATTTTGTCCCGGACTACAATGAAGCGTCACCAGCCAAGTCTCTCATTCCTATGCCGGCTTGGGTTGTAGATCATCTCCCATGTGCTTCACCTGGGCATGGCTCCTCCCCCCAGGTGGAGCACAAAATTTTGGAGTCGGATGAAGTTTTCCTTCCACGTGACCAGTTGGTGGCTGATGTGGCAAGGTCCTTAGACACTGCCTTTACGACACTGCCTGTCCAGCCATCAATTCAAGTACCGAGATTCCGTACGTACAGATGCTCGTAGGCTCCTCTCGGCCCAGTACCTGGATTCTGATGACAGATTCACAAATTGGTAGAATGGACGCCGCGCTCCGTCACTTTCTTTATCCACTGTTGGCGGTGGCTTCTGCCAACTTGGCCATCTAGAACTGCTTGGACAAGAATCCATCAGAGGCCAATGACCAGCTCCTCCCTGTCCTGGATTGGCAACAGAGTCAACTGGTACACATTCACCATCGCAAGACTTTCTGCTCTGTTCAAGCAGTCCTCCTGGGATCCGTTGTTCAAGAAGCAACTGATGCGCCAACCTTGGTCTGGGTCGGCGCTCTTCAACGGCCAGATCCCAACTGTTGCTAACGAGTCCCAGAGTTGGGATACTCATCAACAACAGTTTCGACTCCTTAACAACATGGACCATCTCATTTCTTCACAACAATCTCAGCAGAGAAAATCTTATGTTGGGTAGAGAACCAGTTTGAAGCGGTTTTTCGGCCCTAACGCCAGTCCCCCAGAAAAGATCGGTCCTCCAAGCCTCTCCACCGAGATCGCTTTTCCGGCGGGGACCGGCGACGGAAGTGACTTTCTTCAGACGCCCGACAACTGGCAACTCCCTCCGCCAGTTGTCCCTGTTCATCTGTCTCCAGTAGCAGGGAGACTTCAGACCTACTGGAGGAATTGGCAGCTGTTCCAGGATCCGTTTGTTACCCAGATCCCCTGCTACGGTTACCGCCTGCCGTTCCTCCTCTGACTACTACTCCCTTGGAACCTCTATATCGGCGATGTGCCAGATCTTCAAGCCAATATCAATCTACAGATTGCCAAGAATGCAGTGGATCTCCTGGACACCGATTCTATCTCTCCAGGGTTTTATTCTCCAGTCTTCCTGGTGCCCAAGAAGGGTTCGTCCAAACTTCGAATGATCCACAATCTGGCACTATTCAACCTCCATTATCTCGCGCCTCCGCAACATTTCCAGATGATCTCCATCCGGTCTCTGTGCCACCTCCTTCAACCGATGGACTACCTCATCAGTCTGTATCTCCAGGATGCCTACCTGCGCGTTCCCATTCAGACAACACATCGTCGTTTCCTCCGCTTCATCTTCCGGGCCAGCACTTTCAGTGGAAAGTGCTCCCATTTGGCATTTCCACGGCTCTGTGGTTATTCACACGTATAACCCATCCCATCAGTGCGTTCCTTCACCGCAGTGGGATTCGGTTCAGAGCCTACATTGATGACTGCATCCTCGGTCATGGCGTCAATCAAACCTTGATTCTTCAGCGCGATTTCACCCTTCGCCTCCTCCATCGGTTGGGTTGGATCATCAACATGGAGAAATCGGATCTGACTCCCTCTCGCCATCTCACTTTCATAGGTGGTCTCTTTCTGACAGACCTCTCCTTGATACAAATTCCTCCGGATCGGTTCGCGGCAATCCAATCCGGGGTCAGGAGAGCCCTCTCTCAACCTCTCGATCTCCGCCAGTGGCAGAGCCTTCTTGGGCTGTTGACCTCAGCTCAGGATCTAACGTCCAGGGGTCGTCTTCAACTGCGTCCCCTTCAACGGTTTCTCATGCCATTTCTGTGCTCAGACCTGTAGGCCCCCCTTCTTCCTCTGCAAAGGGAATTACGTCCGTTCCTGGAGTGGTGGCTAGTCCCATCAAACGTCTTGAGTGGTTCCTCTATGACAAGCTTCGAGGCCACTCACCACCTCTTCATGGACCCATCTCTACAAGGATGGGGCGCCCACCTTCTCCAGGAAACCGCTTCTGGTCTTTGGACTCCTTCGGAACGTGCGTGGCACATCAACAATCTGGAGTTGGAGGCAGTCATTCGGGCGATTCCTCATTGGCCTTAGATCCTCCACAACAGCTGTCTCATGGTCGCCTCAGACAACTTCGTGGTGGTGTATTACATCAGCAGGCAAGGGTCGACTCGATCTACTTCTCTCCTGGAGCAGATCTTTCGCTTGTTTCATCTGGCCGACAGTCTCCCTTTTCTGATACGAGCCCGTCACATTCCAGGTTGTCGCAACGTCTTAGCCGACTCCCTGTCAAGACCTGATCGTCCGTGCCCCACAGAGTGGATGCTACACCCGGAAGCCTTCCGGTTCTTGGGAGGTAGACGGCGTCGCTCTGTCCTGGGTCGGCCTAAGCGCGTACGCTTTTCCGCCCCCGAATTCTTCTCCCCCAGGTCATTCAGAAGGTGGCCTGGACCTGTCCTCTGGATCGGCTTTTGGTCGTGCCTTATTGGCCGTCCTGGATTTGGTTTCCAAAGCTCCTTCAGCTCGCAGGAGAACCCTGTTGCATCTCCTGTCGTGGCCAAATCTGCTGCTCAATCCTCACACCAGACAACCGCATCCAGAGCCTGTTTTTCCCCCTCTTTTTGAGCCAGACACGGAATACCTTGCATTTACCCTCTCTCAAGCATAGTTCTCTCTACCGTCAGACCTCCATTCTGTTCCGAGAAGGCTTGACCTGCATCTTATTCCCTTGCCTGCCGCTACTTTGCTGTCGCCTGCTGGGTTTCCTGCCGTACGTTTTTGCTGTGCTTCTTCAGTGTGCCTGGCGCTTCTCACGGTAAGCCCGCCTTCCATCAGTCGAATAAAGCACTGTGTAGCGTCAGGTAAGGTAAAACATGAGCATTTCTGATTAAATGCAATGTTTTTATACTTACCTGACGCTACACCTATAGGCCCAGCCGGACTCAGTCCTCCTCCTCCGCCTTACCGTTGGCGCCACTGTGTCCTCTACGTCTGATGTCATCCTGTGAAGGATATGAGGAATGGGGGCCAAGGGGGATAACTCGTGGATGCCTTGGCAAGGGCTGTAGTCTGTTTAAACTGTGTCTTCATTCCAGTACTGTCTGTTTGTATAAGGTAGGGAAGCTAAAGCACTGTGTAGCATCAGGTAAGTATAAAAACATTGTATTTAATCAGAAATGCTCATATACTATACTCCATATATGGTCATTGTAGGAGGAGATGTCCCAAGTTACACGCTTGATCGCTCAACAACCCCTCCCTCCATTCACGGTCAGAGTCATAGCAACTTTACAGATTTAATACTTAAGCATGTTTAGGGCATAATCACAAATACTTGACCAAAATTTAATTTACAATACAAAAATTGCGTAAAATTGCCTGACAAAAAATGACAGGCAAAATCTTCCATCAACAAAAAATCTGGGGTTTGACATGCTGAGCAGTTTCAATGATCGGCCGGTGCCCAACCTACCTCCTTTAGCCTCTGATTTTTTAATCACATTACGGGGCTTTTTCTGTCTGCTCATCCATTTGATTACTGTGTCCACAACTTATGCCATTGTGTGAAATAGGAGCAAGGGCAACAGCAGTTGGTTGATACATGGTATCCAAGGAGGATGTTAGTCATAAAAATTTAATTACAGACATTAATTGTTCTTTAATTATTCACAATGTCAAGATCAAAGGTTGTTTCACACACTCTACAATAATGGCAATGCTATTTATTTGGAATTAACAGAAATAGCAACACATCCTGATGTGTCCATATGACTGTCAACTCTTCACATCAGCCAATGAAAACAACTGTCACACACCGCTGCGCAAGTAACTTTAGGCCACGCCCCCAAATGTTTGGTTTTGGAATCCAGTTATGGAGCATGTGTTTTCAGCACTTTCACTTGGACATTTAAATGACTTATGACTTTTTTTTCTCTCCCTGGAAGTGACTTAATGTATCTAGGAAAATTGAAATTTGCAACAAAATCATGCTACTTGCACTTTAAGTATAATTCTTTGTATAAATACTCTTCTACATCCCTACATCTGAAAAGTCAGATGGCGTAAGAGCAAACCGATCCATGTTTAAGGATGGTGCACTTGTAGGCTGTGGAAACAATTGTGTTGTATTAGACTGGTGTTGCTTGAGTGTTTGTATCTATATTTCAGTTGTCTCTCAAGTTCATGTGATAGCATGTTGAAAAACTGTATGTGTTGCACAGATACAAGGGTGTGCGTGAGGGAACGATTGCTGACAACACATCATACTACATCTTCACAAAGTGTCCTGATGGAGCGTTTGAGGCAGTGCCGGTCGAGGAGTGGAACAATTACACCCCGCAGATCAGATACAAGTACCTCAACTCTGAGGAGGCAGAGGAAGAGTTTAGTCGGTCAGTAGTCTGGCCACTGTGTTGTTTTATCAGTCAGTTTCCTGGCCACTGTGTTGTTTTATCAGTCAGTTTCCTGGCCACTGTGTTGTTTTGTCAGTCAGTCTCCTGGCCACTGTGTTGTTTTGTCAGTCAGTCTCCTGGCCACTGTGTTGTTTTTTCAGTCAGTTTCCTGGCCACTGTGTTGTTTTGTCAGTCAGTTACCTGCCCACTGTGTTGTTTTGTCAGTCAGTTACCTGGCCACTGTGTTGTTTTGTCAGTCAGTTACCTGGCCACTGTGTTGTTTTGTCAGTCAGTCACCTGGCCACTGTGTTGTTTTGTCAGTCAGTTACCCGGCCACTGTGTTGTTTTGTCAGTCAGTCACCTGGCCACTGTGTTGTTTTGTCAGTCAGTCATGTGGCCACTGTGTTGTTTTGTCAGTCAGTCACCTGGCCACTGTGTTGTTTTGTCAGTCAGTCACCGGGCCACTGTGTTGTTTTGTCAGTCAGTCATGTGGCCACTGTGTTGTTTTGTCTGTCAGTCTTGGCCACTGTGTTGTTTATTCAGTCAGTCTCCTGGCCACTGTGTTGTTTTGTCAGTCACCTGGCCACTGTGTTGTTTTGTCGGTCAGTCACCTAGACACTAGGTTTAATCAGTCAGTTATCTGGTCAGTGTATGTAAGATGTTTTCAAGAAGTTTAAGCAGTGCCTGTAAAGGCGGCAGCATGATGTGCTTGTTCGAATTTGAGCGGCGCCACCGCTAGATGTCTGAGAGTTCATACATGATATGAGGTACGGGCAGCCCAGTTGTCTCAGGCGCCACAATTTGCTGAGCAGAGTTGCGGCCATTAGGCACGCCAGAAACCTATGATGGTTAGAATCCCTATTCGCCCCCATTATGTTTCTAGGTTTGTCAGCACCAGACATGTGCTCGTGGGTTTCACCAAAGTGGTAAACATCCGTGATTGCATCACTTTGGGCTTTCCTTCCACATTAAGCAGACATGCTGTGATATAACTGGAATGCTGTTCAAAGCAGCACTAAACCTAACTCACTCACTCATACCTGATATATCTCAAGGTCATTCAGTTTGAATCAGGCATCAAAAAAGCTACTGCACACGATAACTTGAGAATTTGAATTAAACTTAGTATACATGATCTCTTATATTCCACATCAGCATATCCAGACTCGATTATTTACAGACCGCCGTCATATTAGTGGAATATTGCCGAGTGCTGCGTTAAACAACAAACAAACAAACTTGTCATATGTCATGGCAGTATCAAATGTCAAGGTCAATTTTCAGGTCATTCACTTATGAAATGACTTGTGAATAGTTTCATTCAGGGAGTATTGTTTGTATGGTATGGAGGCTTCTTATGCAACAAGCCACGTTTTTGCATGTGATTGGATGTCGTTGAATGTCAAGGCCACTTGGTGGGAAGTAGATGCCCCAAAGGACTTGTGTATACATAATATCTTGAGCATTTGAATGGAATGCTGTATATACATGTATATAGTGTATATACACTATATATATAGTGATGCTATTAAACAGAAAGTACTCTTGACTTTGTTGTTAAGTTAGCTAAAAGCATAGTCTTTTCTGTTTCAAGGTTGTACTGCATTGGCTATGTGTTTTCGAAACTGGAAGTGATGTTGTATAACTGGAAGTACTTACAACATTGTTATTGAAGAAGCTAGAGTCTAGTAGATAGAGACTTTGCACTGCATTGTTACCAAATAAGCTCAGGCATAGGCTTTGTGTTTCAAAGTTTTGGGCTTTTGGCATGTGTATGGTCAAGTGTCACCTGATGTGGTTAAGAGGAAATATTCATGATATATGTCTCTGATGGTAAAGTTACGGGGCATTCATGAAATGGTCGCAGGGATTTAACTAGTCCTACTCAGAGGCAGATATTGGGCCCCAAATTATTCCTCAAATCTGCAGCAAATTATTCTTTTCCTAACTTGCCTGCCAAGGGCACTTAGTTTGGAATCCTGAATAAATCCCTGCATGTGAATGGGGCTGCTTCTGTTTTTGCATGTAATGAAAACACCTTTCTAGTATCTATCTATTTCAGGTCTACATCTGTACTTGACCCTGTAGAGCATGGCACAGAGCCTATTTTTTAAACTTTCCTGTAATTCTGAAATTTGCTAATTCTAGTTGGCCAGAATGGGTCTTTATCATTCATTGTACTTTCCAGATTAAGAAAAGTGAACTGGAGTGTTAAAACTTGGCAAATGAATATAAAGTTTCCAGTGCTCATTATTCCCCCACAGTTGTACCAGCCCCACAGTTTCACCTATAATCATTGTCCCTACCCTCATAGTCACTCAGGCTGGAAGCTTGGATAATGTTACACAAGCTATGAGGAAAGTATGAGCACAAGACATTCATGTTGCAGGAGAGACAAAACTCTGAACTACTTCCACATCATGGTGAAGAAGCGCTTACGCAATGACGTAGTGGATATGGACGAGGAAGCTTCTGAGAAGGTGCCCAAGGGCAGCAAGCGGAAAGGGAAGGAGTTTGTAAGTATGGGTATTGCAGTGTTCCCGCTGGCTGCTGAAACTGCCAGTCCCAGTGGACTGGCCACTTACAAATTACCAGTCCCCTTTAAGTTTTGTCAGTCCCAACTTTGAACAAAAAAAAAAGAAAAGAAGTATGAATATAACATGCTTTTAATTCTTTAATCATCATGTTCAACATTTCTCTTTGGTTCAAGATTAAGTCTCTAAAAATAGATATTTAACCTCAAAGCAAAGTGAAATGTTATTTGCTCGCACTAAAAATAGACAACAGGAAATCCTGATGCTGAAAGATAAGCTGACTTAGTTTGAAAAATATACTTTATTGATTATTTCCGATATTTTATTCAACAACAAAGATTTATGAGGTATGTTGTTTGCAGGTCCACAGGGACTGTCAGTCACATGAATGACTGAACCCAGACTTAATTTTACATGTAAAACACTGTTAATTACCAGTAAACTGGAACACTGGGTTATGTGCTTGTCATGGAATAGCCATAATGATATACATATCACTCTTCTCATTTATCAATATGAGCCAGGTTTTCTCATCTGGCGTGAAATGTTTGTTTTACACCCAGTCATTTTATGCAAAGGGTATAGTGATCCGTATGTGTTGCAGATAATTTGAAATATTTGCTATATTGGGGGAATAAAGTTGGTCTTACTCAGTCAGAAATTTCAACATGGTCAATAAAACTTCAGGAAATTATTCATGAAGCAAGGAAACTATGTCCTTTCCTGACGATTCTGTTACCTTTAACATCCAGAAACTGACGGATCAGGATGACTGGGCTGAATTGTCTGACGATGATGAAGAGGAAGATGAGGATGGAGAGGATGGTATGCACACCTTGTTCCGGTGGCCATATTTGTTCGAAGCATAATTCATTTGGAGATAGTCTCCATCAACTAGACAAGGATTACTATTAACTAAATACAACAACTTTGTTCCTCTTTAAACAAATCTTCTACACAGATGACAGCTATAATATCGTGTTGACACTGCAAATTCATTCAACTCAAGGTGATGCTGCAAAGAAGAAACCTAAGAAAGGCAAGGGAAAGTCTGACCCAAAGAGGAAAAAAAATGCGAAACACAATTCTGATGATGAGGCTATCGAGGAGAGTGATGAAGGGGACTTTGATGACAGGGAGGTGGATTACATGAGCGACTCAGGCAGGTGAGTGGCATCAGATGAAGGGGAGGGTGAGTGGCACCAGGTGAAGGGGGAGGGGGAGTGGCATCAGATGAAGGGGAGGGTGAGTGGCATCAGATGAAGGGGAGGGTGAGTGGCATCAGATGAAGGGGGAGGGTGAGTGGCATCAGGTGAAGGAGGGTGAGTGGCATCAGATGAAGGGGAGGGTGAGTGGCACCAGGTGGAGGGGGAGGGGCATCAGATGAAGGGGAGGGTGAGTGGCATCAGATGAAGGGGAGGGTGAGTGGCACCAGATGAAGGGGGAGGGTGAGTGGCATCAGATGAAGGGGAGAGTGAGTGGCATCAGATGAAGGGGAGGGTGAGTGGCACCAGATGAAGGGGGAGGGTGAGTGGCATCAGATGAAGGGGAGGGTGAGTGGCATCAGATGAAGGGGAGGGTGAGTGGCACCAGATGAAGGGGGAGGGTGAGTGGCATCAGATGAAGGGGAGAGTGAGTGGCATCAGATGAAGGGGAGGGTGAGTGGCACCAGATGAAGGGGAGGATGAGTGGCACCAGATGAAGGGGAGGGTGAGCGGCACCAGATGAAGGGTGAGTGTGAGTGATATCAGATGAAGGGGAGGGTGAGTGGCACCAGGTGGAGGGGGAGGGGCATCAGATGAAGGGGGAGGGTGAGTGGCATCAGATGAAGGGGAGAGTGAGTGGCATCAGATGAAGGGGAGGGTGAGTGGCACCAGATGAAGGGGAGGATGAGTGGCACCAGATGAAGGGGAGGGTGAGCGGCACCAGATGAAGGGTGAGTGTGAGTGATATCAGATGAAGGGGAGGGTGAGTGGCACCAGATGAAGGGGAGGGTGAGTGGCAACAGATGAAGGGTGAGGGTGAGTGGCACCAGGTGGAGGGGGAGGGGCATCAGATGAAGGGGGAGGGTGAGTGGCATCAGATGAAGGGGAGAGTGAGTGGCATCAGATGAAGGGGAGGGTGAGTGGCACCAGATGAAGGGGAGGATGAGTGGCACCAGATGAAGGGGAGGGTGAGCGGCACCAGATGAAGGGTGAGTGTGAGTGATATCAGATGAAGGGGAGGGTGAGTGGCACCAGATGAAGGGGAGGGTGAGTGGCAACAGATGAAGGGTGAGGGTGAGTGGCACCAGGTGGAGGGGGAGGGGCATCAGATGAAGGGGAGGGTGAGGGGCATCAGATGAAGGGGGAGGGTGAGTGGCATCAGATGAAGGGGAGGGTGAGTGGCATCAGATGAAGGGGGAGGGTGAGTGGCATCAGATGAAGGGGGAGGGTGAGTGGCATCAGATGAAGGGTGAGGGTGAGTGGCACCAGGTGGAGGGGGAGGGGCATCAGATGAAGGGGGAGGGTGAGTGGCATCAGATGAAGGGGGAGGGTGAGTGGCATCAGATGAAGGGGAGGGTGAGTGGCATCAGATGAAGGGGAGGGTGAGTGGCACCAGATGAAGGGGGAGGGTGAGTGGCATCAGATGAAGGGGAGGGTGAGTGGCATCAGATGAAGGGGAGGGTGAGTGGCATCAGATGAAGGGGGAGGGTGAGTGGCATCAGATGAAGGGGAGGGTGAGTGGCATCAGATGAAGGGGAGGGTGAGTGGCATCAGATGAAGGGGAGGGTGAGTGGCATCAGATGAAGGGGGAGGGTGAGTGGCATCAGGTGAAGGAGGGTGAGTGGCATCAGATGAAGGAGGGTGGATTGCTGCATGGCGAGTTAGAGGCACTGCTTCCTGACAATGGTTGGTATCTGTGTTTGCAGTGAGTCTGAGGTGGAAGACAAGGAGAAGGCAGATAAGTATGAGGAGAAGGGAGTGGATGAGGAGGCTGGGCTGAGAAAACTTATTGACTCGGGCGAGGAAGATGAAGACGAAGATGAGAACAAGGAAGAAGAGAATGATGATGAGAAGGAGAAAGATAGCAAGGGCAAAAAGACTGGTAGGTGGAGTTTTGTCATGGATTATGTGATCATTGACACTGAGTAGAATATGGAGCTAAAGATGTTTATGTAGACTAAAATATAGACTATGAAATCTTTTATCATCGTGCAAGCTTATGTTTATTGAGAGGGAACAAATAATCTGTTCAAGTTGGTTCTTCTTGTTTCTTGCCAACAGGAACGCTTTGTGTTGTTATGCATGCATATTTACATGGCAGGTACTGACAGCGACAGTAGCAGCTCAAGCTCCGACAGTGACTCAGATATAGAGAAGGACGACAAGCTCTCCTCAGCTCTGTTCATGCAGGTCAGCTCCCTCACTCTACAAGTAGTGTCCCTTCTGTGTCCCTATTGACCAATCAGATTCCACCTCTCATATCACTTACATTTGCTTCAAACAAAATGGTGGCGATATGATTGATATGATCGATAAAATCTATGTTGTAATAAAACGGGTCTTACTTTGAGAAATGCATCAAATCATGTGAGCACCTTGATTAAAAACATGAACAGATTTGGAAAATATCTGTTGAGTCACAGTCACATGGCAGTACACATGCTTTGCATATCCTGCAATCGACTGAAATCTGTACTGCAGTTTATGAACTGGATGTTGATTTCGTTATCCTGATTTTGATTGGACTATGCATAGACTTGTTAGTTCCAGCCTAAATATAACTCCATAATTGAAAACTGGACTTTTATAGTCAGTTCACTCCCTTGCCTTGGAAAGATGTCCACTGGTTCATCAGATCCACACACTTGATTACCTAGAGGAGGCTTGATACAGCTGAAATACTATCATACACAGTCAAACCTACGCTCGGTGTCTGTGTGTCTCTGTGTCTGATTCGGTATATCTTTGAAGTGGCACAGGCTTAAAGTGTACAATTAAGAAAACAGATATATGTATGTTTGGGCTAAACCTGGTTAACTTGGACTCATTCCTACTCAGCACAAGTATCTTGTGATGTTTGATAAATGTAATGCTTCTGATTTTGTATCTTAATCTGTAATTTTCAGAAAGGCTCGGAGAAGAAAAAAGGTGATAAAACAGCATCTCCAAAACCTGATGAAAGAGGTAACCTGCATGTCATGTATAGCTCTAGTAGGCCATGTCCCTGTCAGAGCCTTGTTTTTATTCTTGTAACTTTTTCATATATAAAGAAAATTATGAAATCATGTCCTGGTCTGCTGACCTAGGTGTTGATTGCAAGGGGTAGAACATGAGTGGAAGAACTGGCTGGCATGATAGTACAAGAGGCAAACAAGCACTGGCTTATAGTGGACTACATTTATTATCTCTATGTGTTGTAGGAGTGAAGAGGAAGATGGATGGAGAGTCATCATCCGTGAAGAAGTCCCGGACAGACAGTCCTCTCACGACACAGGGCAGTGGAGGATCTAGGCAAGTATAGACCCTGCAGGCTTCAGTTCAGCCTGACACAACCAGGAGTTCCATGTCTGGATTTCTCTGTCATTTCAATGAGTGAGTGAGTTGGATTTAACGCCGCTTTTAACAGTATTCCAGTTATATCACGGCGTGTCAGCTTAATGTGGGAGGAAAGCCCGAAGCGATGCAGGTCTCAGACGTTTACCACTTCGGTGAAACCCACGAGCACGGGTATGGTGCTGACAAACCTAGAAACATAATTGGGGTGAACCGGGATTCGAACCCACAACCATAGGTTTCTGGCGTGCCCAAGGGACGCAACTCTGCACAGCGAATCGCGGCGCCTTAGACGACTGGGCCACCCGTGCCCCCCCTGTCATTTCAATGAAGCAAATTTAATTATTAGCTTACTTCTACACCCATAATGGTGAAAACTGGAATGGAGAAGCTATCAATCAATGGCATTTTGTTTTTGACATTTTCTGACTACAGTGTTCCCTCGTTATTGCACCCTTCAATAAAGCGCTAACTCGGTTATAGCGCGAGGAAAAGCATGGCTCCCAAAATTTACTAACATTTTCAATAAACTCAAGTTTTCCAAAGACATGATGTACTTAGAGATTGAAATGCATAATTAAGCCTTGTATACCAGCGGGTGTATTTACATACAGGTATCTGATTTAGATCTTATCGTACATGGGTGGTGGGGTAGTCTAGCAGTTAATAATCATTCTGAAACCTGGCTGGTTCAATTCCTCACATAGGTATACAGCTGATTGCTATTTCAAGCTTAGTTTACACACAGTAATCTCAATCTCTGCATATAAAACCATGCCTAGAACAAAAGGAAAAGCCATTAAAATGATAAATCTTCATGTCTAGTGATGTGTTATCACAGACTTCACATTTACATTAACAAAGTTTGTTATCTTCAGTTCGTTCACCTGAAGCAATTCAATGTAGTTTTTAACAGGGAACAATACACGAAATAGCAATGATACACAAGTGCTCACAATGAAAAATAGTTGCAGGGAAGTCTACATTCACATAGGCCGACCCTTTTCTAAAGAATATTTTGTGCTGGTCCTCAAAATCTGGCTTATCTATAGTTATATACGGTAATGTTTGTCCCCTGCCATGATATGGCTGTAATGTTACTGGTACAGGAGGTGGTGTAAAAGCCAAAACTCACTCACCCTATCATAAATGCTCAAATAGGATGGCAATGCATCCCAAAATGTAAGTGAGAAATATACTTGCTTTGAAATAACAGAAATACTATGGGTTAACCTATACTGATGATCCACTTGTGTATGCTGTTGCTCTTATGAAGGCCAGCACTTCATGGTTCAAATCCCAGATTCACCTTGATTAAAGCCTTTGGTTTGTTTGCACCATGTTTGTTTGTTTCTTGTTTAATGTCGCACTCAGCAATATTCCAGCTATATGATGGCGGTCTGTAAATAATCGAGTCTTAACCAGACAATCCAGTGATCAAGCAAGTCTGACCACGCGATCTCGTGAGTCGCCACTTATGACAAGCATAGTCACCTTTTGCGGCAAGCATGGGTTGCTGAAGACCTATTCTACCCTGGGTGTTCATGGGTGTTCACACCATGTACATATGGGTTTCACAAAAGTGGTAAATATCTCTGACCTGCAACACTTCCTCCCACATTAAGCTGACACGCTGTATGCCTGTTCATGTTTACAGTTTTGGCTTGAGATGGATATATGTTATTCACTGTCATTTAATTATTCTTTGTCATCTTTGTTTATAGCGAGGGTATAACAGAAGATGCCATTCGTCGGTACCTCATGCGGAAACCAATGACAACAAAAGATTTACTGCAGAAGTTCCGATCTAAGAAACTGAACATGACAAATGAACAGATGACTCACACTATTGCCCAGTTGCTTAAAAAAATCAACCCGGACAAGAAAATTATCAACAAAGTCATGTATCTCTCTTTAAAATCTGACTGAGAGTTGGTAGTGTGGCATTACTGGTTCTGTGCTGGTCCGGCTATACTGGAGCTGTGCTGGTCCGGCATTACTGGACCTGTGCTGGTCCGGCTATACTGGAGCTGTGCTGGTCTGGCATTAATGGAGCTGTGCTGGTCCGGCATTACTGGACCTGTGCTGGTCCGGCATTACTGGAGCTGTGCTGGTCAGGCATTACTGGCGCTGTGCTGGTCTGGCATTACTGGCGCTGTGCTGGTCCGGCTATACTGGAGCTGTGCTGGTCCGGCATTACTGGAGCTGTGCTGGTCCGGCATTACTGGACCTGTGCTGGTCTGGCTATACTGGAGCTGTGCTGGTCCGGCATTACTGGAGCTGTGCTGGTCTGGCATTACTGGACCTGTGCTGGTCCGGCTATACTGGAGCTGTGCTGGTCTGGCATTACTGGAGCTGTGCTGGTCCGGCATTACTGGACCTGTGCTGGTCCGGCTATACTGGAGCTGTGCTGGTCCGGCTATACTGGAGCTGTGCTGGTCCGGCATTACTGGAGCTGTGCTGGTCCGGCATTACTGGACCTGTGCTGGTCCGGCTATACTGGAGCTGTGCTGGTCCGGCATTACTGGAGCTGTGCTGGTCCGGCTATACTGGAGCTGTGCTGGTCTGGCATTACTGGAGCTGTGCTGGTCCGGCATTACTGGACCTGTGCTGGTCTGGCATTACTGGACCTGTGCTGGTCTGGCATTACTGGCGCTGTGCTGGTCCGGCATTACTGGAGCTGTGCTGGTCCGGCTATACTGGAGCTGTGCTGGTCCGGCATTACTGGAGCTGTGCTGGTCCGGCTATACTGGAGCTATGCTGGTCCAGCATTATTTGGTCAATGCTACCCCAGCATTGATGTCCTTTCGACTAGGTCCAGCAACTTTGGCTGGTGATGTCTCTGCCTGATCTTCAATAAGAAATCATCTACGACAAGGTGACCTGCACAACCAAAAGAGCAAGGTTTGAGACAGTGATGACAAGAGGAGGACTACAATACTCAGCATGACGGTTGACCCCTGCAGCTTTGGTACAGAAGGAATTCGTCACTTGTTTTTCCCCAGCAGCAGTACAGTGTTTTACACTGCCAGTGTACATATGTAAATAAACATTTTATTCCCAACAATGTTGTTTTATTGACAACACAGTGAAATGTGAAAACTGAAACACTTTTAAGATTATGACTCTGAAATGCTTTAATGGGAACTACTAAATTGGTTTTGATTGTTGTTTAACGTCTCACTCAGCAATATTCCAACCATATGAAGGCAGTCTGTAAATAATCGAGTCTGGACCAGACAACCCAGTGATTGATATCATTAGCATCGATCCTCGAAATGTGTGATCAATGCATCAACCAGGTCATCGAGCCTGACCACCCGATCCTGTTAGTCGCCTTTTACGACAAGCATAGTTGCCTTAAACGGCAAGCATGGGTTGCTGAAGACCCATTCTACCCCAGATCTTCACGGGTCACTACTAAATTGCCCAGAAAATCACGAGTCTGCATATCACTAACAGTTGTACTTGAATTTAGCTCTTCAAAAGTCCTCAATCATGACAGATGTACTTGTATATAGATCTTCACAAGTCCTCACTCATGACAGATGTACTTGTATCTAGATCTTCACAAGTCCTCACTTATGACAGATGTACTTGTATATAGATCTTCACAAGTGGTCAATCATGACAGATGTACTTGTATATAGATCTTCACAAGTGGTCAATCATGACAGATGTACTTGTATCTAGATCTTCACAAGTCCTCACTTATGACAGATGTACTTGTATATAGATCTTCACAAGTGGTCAATCATGACAGATGTACTTGTATATAGATCTTCACAAGTTTCAACCATGACAGATGTACTTGTATATAGATCTTCACAAGTCCTCAATCATGACAGATGTACTTGTATATAGATCTTCACAAGTCCTCACTCTGGTATTGGTTGCACCATAAAAGGTCAAGGACAATTTTGAGGTTATTGAGAAACTGTTGAATCTCTGCCAGTTACTATTGCACTTTTAGATCTTAGTAAGTTCTCTTGATTAAGGTGAAGGTCTGGATGTCCTGTTTTGGTCAAGTACATAGTGGCATTTTAAGACTTGCAAACACCTCTAGCTTACATTACAGTCTATGTACATACACAGCTCATGGGAAGTTGGGCCTTCTCATAAGAAGACATGGATATCAAGGTATCATTTTGGGAGAGGTGAGGTGAAATGGGGTTTAATGTTTCAATCAAGATTGTTGCACTTATGTAGCGACTGGGTGTGTGCATGCATGCATGCATGGTTGCAGGCGCTCTTGTACTAGTCTTGACTAATGCCGATTTTATTGTGTCAGCCCACTGAGATACCATGCCAGTTTTAACATGAATACCACTCAAGAACAGTATACAGACTCAGTCTTTGTTTCAACCCCTTAATGCCGCGCGCCACACAGGGTAATAAGTACCATCTTTCAGCGTCTTTTTGTTACAATGCGCTCGGGGGTCAAACCCCCGACCTTTCAATCTCTGGGCAGACACTCTACCACTAGATCTTGGAGGTGGTCGATCTTGAGAAGACCATTGTATGCCATCTGCTGTCAACATCAAGGGCCTTACTGATCATAATGCCCAAATCCCATTACGGGTCACGTCAGACCGACCTTGGACCGACCAATGGAATGACCAATCAGAAGGCAGCTTTCTCGTGCTTTCTACGGCACTAATTTCAAATTGGCGACTACGCTTCGAAACATATTTTGACAAATTTGAAACCTGAACAAAAGAACATTCTGTAATGGCTAATAGATGGTCTAGATTGTATGGATACAGTCGTTAAACCCGTAACTATCGTTCGGAGTTAAAGTTTTCGAGGCTGCATGATCAGAAATCACATTCCGACTGTCACTTTCATAATCTGGTAAGCGATGCTCCGATTGGTCGTTCTGACGTGACCCCTAATGGGATGTCCTCAGATCTTTGTTTAGCGAGAACTGAGAATGTGTTCTTTTCAAATGCAGTGCCCTTGTTTCCTCCAGATCCAACTATGTCTCGAATCTAGCTAGTCGAGTTGATACCAGGTAACTCACCCGAAGTGTGCTTTCATCACCTCCAAATTAATGTTGAAAATGTGATGTCGCACATCATTTTAAGAAATGAGTTATGTAATGCACAGCTATCATAAATGTGTGTGATCATGTTTTCATGCCTCGATTTAGTACCCTTGTATAATGTGATTGTGTGTAGCCGTTAGGATTAATCAATTTACACAAAATTCCATGACAACTCTTGGCCCAAACTATACATTACATGTGATAAAATGCAAGGTGGTTTGGTACTTCATAAATCAGTTTTAAGGATAGAGTAGACCTTCCATGCTGCTGTGGTAGTAGTAGCAGCACACCTGCAGTACTTTCTACTCTTTGAGCATGACACGATACATCTATTTCAATTATGAAGCAACAACTATCACATATGCATTTATAAAGCATCTGATTACATAACATGTTCTCTACCTGCTGGTATGTTTACATTGGAAATTATAATGGAGCATGAGACCGTGAGTTCCCTCCCATTGTTTCAAGATTAACGAGTTTGGTTTAATGCTGCTTGTCTACAGGTCTTCTATGTTACCGAACAGGCAATGCCCATGAGACAAACCTGGAAGCATTATCAGGGCAAATCTGGGATTCAAACCCCTTAGACAGCATGGCCACCTGTGCACCCTCCCAAATAAGAGCTCTCTACAATGATTTATTGTGAGGGGTGTGGCAAAGCTTCAAGGTGAATGTGCCAATTGCGGTACTTGAAAGGCTGTATTCAATACAATTGGCTTACCCTCACAGACATTCTCTATACAATACTCAAAGCCATTGAAAATGCAATTCATTGTCAGATGGTGTGTATTTTATTAGTGAAAGAAACCAACAATAATGACAAATAAAACCATCATGTCGAATGTTCTGCCAGTGTCAACTCAGCCACTGTGCGAGTTGGGTGCTGAGGAGTTCGAACACTCCGTCCAAGCTCGTCCCACAAGTGTTCAATTGGATTCATGTGAGGTGACATGGCAGGCCAGTTCATCACACGGATGTTGTTCCTGGTCAGAAAGTCTCCCGTGAACCTTGCAGTGTGTGGACGTGCATTGTCATGCTGGAAGACAGGCTGATGTCAGCTGCCATGTTGAGCCAGTAATGGCAAAAAGTAAACGGGGGTATAATAACTATCAAAACAAATAACCGGGGACAGCATCCTCTCAGTCTTTTAGAAAATGGCCCCCCTTTCTTGAAAATGACCCTAATTTTTGACAACTAGAATGAATACTGCTTATGCAAGCCTGATATGCAACTATCTGGAAAGACAACACAATACATAGTTAAACCTGACATTTACTTTACAATGTATGATACATTATTTTGCCACAGCGGTTGATGGGGCAGCAGCTCCCTTCCTTCTGGGCTTGGGAGTTGTTCCTTCACGGAATCCATTTCTGAAAACAATATCAAGTGTTAAGCAATCAAGCATATTATGAAAATAAGAATACAAAAACAGCATATAGAATATTTGTGTAAAAGATTTCACATGAGCAACTAGTCCACATTCAGTTTGAAATAGTTAGTCATTACCCATGAACTCTTAACACCAGTCAAACAGAAGCTTTTACTGCTGTGACACCAAGATCCAAGATTCTAGGGTGATGGATGAAGCCTACATTTATCTAGGAAATAATCTGCCTGTAAAACATCTATGCTACTACATGTTATACACCATTTGAAAGGTCTAATCCTTCTGTTTATACATATGAAAGTGCAAGCTAACAAAATCACGATGTCCAGATTAAGCACTAAGGAAGTGAAAATTTGATATACGATTTTATAATATCCACTTACCTATTGTTATTTTATTTTCATTGTTTTAAGTAATCGGAAAAGTATTTTAAAATAAATATTAAATAGTATTTGTCATAACCTATTTCCGATAACAGTGGTTGTCCGGTCAGTAATGACACTTTCTTGAAGAAATCTGCTACAAGGTTCGTGATTGGTCAAATGTAAGCATGTGACCTAAGGCAGCCAATCAAATTACTACAATGGTACCATCCTCGTGTAGAAATTTCAGCTTTTGATGAAGGTTTTGGTAAAATTGTGTTATTCTGAACGTTAAAGCAGGAAATCCCGATCTATATAAAAATTATGGAACTTTGTGGATGTATCAAGCTGTGACAAAGATTTCACATGCATATATTTTGGCATTAAACATGTGTGAGCCGAGGAATCAAGGCGACGAAAGTTGAGATGTCATTTGACTTACATTACACGCTATAGCACAGAAAGATGAAAATAATAACTTTGATGTATGTTTGACAACTTTTAGATAAATTTTTGTTGATGTTATTTATTACTTTATATAATATACTTAAAAATTTGCTCTTTATTTTGCTCTTTGACATGTTGGATGTGGACCCGTTGTCGAAGTGTGTCAGAGAATTGTATTTTTAATAACATTGCAGGAAATAGTGAATAATTTTTTAATCTATTGATAAAATATAAATTACAATGGAATACATATTTCAGACAATGTGAAATCTGATAGATTTAATAAATGTATATATGACTGGTAGGTTCCTAAAATTAAGTATTATTTAGACGTGGCTAAAGTTTGGCCGGTCTACCAGCCTGCGGTGTCTTCGTGACTTCTTGGCTGGTGTACCGGCCTGCGATGTTGAAAGAGTTAAACTTTCTATAAACAATCCACATGTGATGTAATACCATATTGTGTTCAATGAAAAATTCCAAATTTTTTTAATTGGTCTGTTTTCAGTGATATCTATTACAGCTATATGATGGAAAATCAGGACCAGACAAACTAATGATTGATAGCATGAAGACAGTAGCATGCCATTGAGAAATGATGCCTCACAACTTAGTTCCAAGGATAGGTTTCTCAGGACCCAATAAATAACCTTGTACAACAAATATGGGGCTACTGATCACCATAATTCCCATGGGTTAAATTTGTCTTGTTTGTCTTTTAACACACACAATAGACGGTGGTCTGAAAATAATCGAGTCTAGACCAGACTATCCGGTTAATTGACATCATGAACTCGAACTACGCAATTGGGTTACGATGACATGCATCAAACAAGATGGAAAGCCTGAGCACCCAATACTGTTAGCTGCCTCTTACGACAACAATGGGTTGCTGAAGATCTATTCTGTACCCGGATCTTCAGGGGTCAATTTTGCCTTCAGTCACTGTGAAAGGTAGGAAGTATCTGATGACTACCAGGGCTCAAGATGAAGGCCGTATCAGTGTATGTATGGATGAAAATATGCACGATGCGGTGGATAATCACGGCATACATGTACGGTCTAACATACATTTTAGACATATTTCCAAGAAATAATAGATTTCAAATAGCCTATTTCCTTGAGTATAGTGTGCATTTTTGTTCTAGAAAAAAGGCGGTGTAAAGGGGGGTGCACATTATAAACAACATAAATGAATTTTGATGATTTTTCCCAAACGCAACATGAGCACACAAAAACAGAAATACCATGTCAACAAATCCATACTGAAGTACGCAAGTTTATCATGTAATTTCACTGTCTGACCTGTTTACATGAGAGTAGCAATGATGTTGTGCATATCTAAAATGAAATACAAGATTAATCCATCAAATTCCATTCAGTACTCATAAGTGTACCGTTTAGTTTTGCCAGTACTCCTATATTGAAATAATAAGGAGTATGTACTCCTGAGGTGAAACATTATCTGGAGCCCTGGACTACAAAACAAGCACACTATACTATTGGCATACCCTTTCCTTGCAGATACTCAAGACATATGACTGCCTCCTACCTGAATTTCCTGAAGACAATCTTGAGATGCCTCATCCTGCCAGTGCCAGTTGTCCTCCTCCTCTTGGACTTAATACTCCAGTTAACTGTAACAATGCATTGTTTGTCATAACAGTCATAAACAAACAGGGCCATTTTAATCATGTACTTGCTCCAAGCTAACTAAAATACAATCATCAACTTATAAAAAAAAAAGTAATTAGGCAATCAACAACTATTTAAGTGACCCATGTTAAAGATATACCTTGGGCAAACAAACTTCACATTTTCGATTGTCAGATCAATCAGGTAGGTACTGAGAAGATTGAACTCCTTCCCCTGAAGTTATTGAAATGAACATCATTGAAACAAGGGTTCTCATGCTATACTGCACTATGATGACACTACAACAATACTTCTTCTGTATTTGCAAAATAATATTCTTAAGCAGGATTTTATAGCTAGAGACTCAAGATCAATGGCCTATTTCCTAAAAGTGCCAAATGCATTCTCGCTTTCTTGACTTGACCCACTAACTGTTTTGTTTACCTGTTTAAATATATTCACTGAGAAAGAGATTCACTGAGAAAGAGACTCAATGACAAGATTATCAATCATTTCTCACAATCTTCACTTCTGAAGAAAAACTTACATGTCCTTTTCCTGGCGGCAGGGTAGCCACATGATGCACAGGTTTTCTTCTGGATATGATAACCACGGCGCCCACACCTGCGGCAGTGTGTGTGGGTTTTGTTGTGCCGCTTACCAAAGCTGGATGTACCTTTGGTCTACAATCAAAGAGGTATTGCTTTTTCGAAAGAGTAATTCATCTGCCTGGAAGCAGCAGTATTTGTCCATTACAACTATTTAAGGAAGTCACACTTATTTCAAATACAAATTATTACCTGGTGGCATTTGAGATGAGTAAATTTAAGGTGGCAGCTCCACAAAAAAATACATGGATGTGTCACGATATTAGTTATTCAACTACATTTTTTTTAAAAATTCATTAATAGCAAAAGTAACGAAAGGCACTAAAGGCTCAAATCAGTGTTCAGAATTAAGCTGGTCCTTAGTGTTCTTGATATCTGTTCCTATAGTATTTTAATGTAAGGATCCATAAATCTTTAACATAAGGGTTATGGCATGGACACTTGACTTTACTGTTTAATTTAACACTGCACGTTTTCATTACAGTCCAATAAATAGTAAAACTTAGTGTCCTCTCATGCCTTTCCAATGTTGTTTATTGCACCATACTGGGCTACAGTCATCACACTACAGCAGATTAATAATACCTGTATTCTCTTTAATCATATTCTTGTAGAACAAGGACTGCAACTGTGTCAGATATTTTGCTAGAGCCAAAATTGTCTCAAGAGATTCACACGTTGTAATATTTGACAATATGGAAAGTTATAGGTCGAACTGAAAGTAATGTTGTCCTCAAGTGTTCATAATTAGTATGTTAGTAAATGAAATAAATATTGTGTTTGGTGATGTCATGGCAATACATCTAATTTCCCAAACTCTGCATCCTTGGTAGTTGGATGCATAATCACGCAAACTGTACTATAAGTGGGATATTATAGGTTGTAGATGTAAGAGGTTATACGGCATGGTAGTCAGGCGAAAAGGAAATTTGTGTATTGTAAAAAAATCCTTCATTCAAAAGAATAAAATTCCTCTGTAATAGGGCCTGGAGCATGTGTCAAAATATGATCTCGTCGAAAACCTAAATTTCGATTAAACATTTCTCAGGAAAGTACGTCAAAATACCCCGCACCTGATCTAATTTGTTGTGCAAAAACTTACACTTCCGTGGGCTATCCCTACGTATCGTTAACCATAAACTACATCTAACAGCACACTTAGTGAGTTAGTGTATAGTTCTTTCCCTCAGTAATGTACTGAGTTCACCGTGGCTTTCACGTGTATATGGTGAATTCTAAACTGAATTATTAACCGCTGTACAAGTTTCCTCTCGAAAATATGTGTTTATTTGAACACATATAAGTTTAATCTTATGAAATACCACATTTTAATAATCATATTGTTTATAGAAGACATGATGTTTATGGATTTAGTAGTTCCCCTAGGTGACAAACCAACCATTTTCTATCCAGCGGAAGTGAGAGAACGAGTTCAACCTCGTTTTGGTTGTTACCCCGGAAGTTGTGATATTCGTATCACATGATCATCACATGATTACCTTATGCAGCATTCAGCCAAGGGAAGTCGAGAAGAATGCAAAACTGTATTTTTATACCCCCGACAAAATGTCGGGGGTATATAGTTATACCAAGGTTCCGTCTGTCAGTCTGTCCGTCCGAAAACTTTGTCCGCGCGATTTCTCTTAAACTATTCAGGGGATTCATCTCAAACCTAGTACATATAATCTGTGTCATATGGAGGGGTGCAGTCCAAAGAATAAAAATGTTTTTATTAATTTTCCTTTTTTGTAATGAATTTTTCAAACCCTAAGCTAACCCTATCCTAGCTATTTAATTTGTAACTACTGACACACTTGGCGGGTCGGGGGTATTAGTGAGCCACGCTCACTTTTGCACTTGTTAAATTAAAAATAGGTGGTAACCAAAAAATGCTTCAATGAATGAGGTTTCGCTTTAACCCCCACCCCAGCCGAAAATGCTCCAATCTTATTTAAATCAGATCTACCGCTAAAGCTCAGCAACCCATGCTTGCCGTAAAAGGCGACTGTGTGAGAGGCGACTAACGGGATCGGGTGGTCAGGCTCGCCAACTTCGTTCATGCATCGTATCCCAATTGCGTGGATCGATGTTCATGATGTCAATCACTGGATTTTCTGGTCCAGACTCGATTATTTACAGACCGCCGTCATATAGCTGGAATATATTGCTGAGTACGGCGTTATCCATGCAATTTGGATCGATCACATGCATCAACCAAGTCAGCGAGCCTGACCACCCGATCCTGTTAGTCACCTCTTACGACAAGCATAGTCGTCTTTCACGGCAAGCATGGGTTGCTCTCAAAGACCTATTCTATCCCGGATCTTCATGGGTCACGATATCTTAGGGCTGCGATAATTTTGAAAATAGACTACGACAATCACGATTTCCGAACGATAATTTTAGGGCTAAGATCGCTTCGAAAATCTAGGCCCTGCGCCAGGATCAAAGTGCACCTCAAAACTCTCCCACGATAAAGCTCATATCAGACGTGATACCGCAAGGGGAGACCACTCGCGTTGTTTTGATGGCTTGATTTTTCTTCGCTGTTTCGTAGAAGATCCTCTGTGTTGGATGTTTTAACATGGAACTCTTCTGGTGCCTCAAAAGAGAACCAGGTCAATATTGTTTGAAGGATGATAAGTAACCATGAACAAATAGAACAAAGAAATTAGAAAAATGAGATAACACCACCATATCTTTAAACAAGATATTAATAACATGGGTATATAGGGACCGTGGACCCATAAAATGTTTGAAAAATATTATACGCTTCAGATTGTTGAAATAAAATAGTCGCATAGTTATAATTAAAAGATACATTTTTTTTGCAGCAAAAGGCACTTTTAGCACATACCCGGTAACTGGCGTGCATACCAAGTTTCCGCATATGCCCCGGAAGAGAACCCTGCCTTGTTTTAACCTATTGTGAACCGAAGAATAAACGACAGTTCAACCGACGCAACATTGAAGAAGGATATATGAATAATTGAAGAAACATTGGATACAAAACATCGCCTGCCAAATTAGGAAAGTGGGGAACTGAAAAACATATTTAAGTGTCTTTTACATGAGATAAATACATACAATAGACATAAGGTTATTTCCAGGCTATAAGGCTAAACTACATTTTAAAACAATAAATGTTAGCATTAAAATAATATATAATCACACATAATGATAATACCACACTCGTATTTCAAGAATTTTATAGCACGAAGTGACTGAGCTAAACATAGCCCCCTCTCATTATTATAGCAAAGTGTCTAATAGAAATGCTGGAATTCAAGGCGTCTTTGAAATATATTTGATATTTTCATAAATAGATGCTATGCATACAACACATTTCACTTCAATCCAAATGAAAACAATACACTGCATGCTTAGTCGATTCAGTTATACCCATAGTGCACAATGATCACTGGCGAAGACTCCGGCCGCTTCATAGACAGAACTTGTGTCTTATCTTGTTAAATAACGTGTCTATGTGTTAGAGTGACATGACACAGTTAACATGTGTATGAGTGGCACAGGCTATATAGCCCCTATTTCTTAATAAGTGAACACTATTGTTTTAAGCTGAAGACTGTAAGGACGGTTATTAAAACAGACAAATCAAGTAAACAGCACATTCAACAATCAAAGGTCTTGATTTGTATCTGAAAAGAAATTTATGTAAATTATATTACACATATACTGTGTCTCATGAATCACACTACATATAATTAAATAACTGTGCATCAATAGTGTTAGATCCACAAATAAATTATGTATAAATGTATTGTATTCTGGGCTCCGACCGCCACGAAGTTTCTAATACTGTAACAGGTGAAGTTTACGATAACTTGACGTCCTACAACACAAGGAAAACATAGTTGTATCAGGAACGCAGCCGGAATTTCGTCAGTATATCATCCAAACTGTCATTCCTATTGTAAATAAAAGCGACAAAACTCTTTCCATAGCCACAAGAAATCTCTGGTGAAAGCAGAGTCGATTGTACGATACCGACTGTACCAGGAACGTGCGCTTATGAATCGCTTTTGAATAGTGATGACACCAGGTGTTCCGGAAAACGTGAGAGTATCCTGCTCCACAGGTGGCACCCGTCATAAACACATGCAAATGCAAGTCAACGGGAAATATGGTAGAATCCAAAATAGGGAACTGCATCGGACAACATTTTTGTCACTGATGCGTCAAATTTGGGAATGTCTACCATAAAATGTTTTGAAAGCTTTACTGAGACCTTGAAAGTTGTAACCTTGATCAAACAACTTGTCAGCAAAAGTGGTATAATGACGATGGGGCCGACGCCCAGTCTGCCTGCTTCCTCCTCGGATGCTTTTAATACATTACCTCTTTATTTTCTGTCTGCGTGTGGTGTTCTCCAAGGACGATATTGTTTGCTGTAGTAACTCTACGACCTCTGGACTAAAAATGAATACTGGGTCAATATTAGTTAATGTTTATTTCTCATAACTAATCGTGCGTGGAGCGTTCTCGGTTATGGTCCCCACAGGTTCTTGTCGATCATACCGCCATGTGTTGTCGATCATACCGCCATGTGATGTCGATCATACCGCCATGTGATGTCGATCATACCGCCATGTGATGTCGATCATACCGCCATGTGATGAGCGAGTGGTCCGGCTAGACCGTGGGTCGACACCCGTGTCCGTACACGACCGGCTTACCATTACCCTCTCAGCTCCACCGCGAAGTGATCTTCATGCGGAACAATACAGTAGTCCACGACTGCCAGGCACCGTGTCGACACTGATGTGAAGTCACTGACCAAGCAATTTTGACCATTCAACTTGCAGTAATTAGCCTTGATAAGAAAATAGCGCATAATCTGTCTATGTCTACACTTGTTCATTAAAGAAACCCATAATATAGCTTCTCTGGTTGCGTTTATCATTTCTAGCTGGTACTGAGATATAATTTAAGTCCTAATTAAGAATCCAATTCCTCCAGAACTACACTTAGCTCTGCGATGAACTTTCACTCTGTTCTGACCAAGCCACACATAGCCAGGTAGTGTAATCTTCTCTTCACCTTTCCAGTGCCGTTGGGGACTAGTGATACTTGTACAAATATTTGCCCTATTTACCCTAGAGACCTTAAAGAACACATCATTGACTGTATATATATAGTTACTATGTACTGTATCAGTTTATGGATAGGCTTAACCATTACATATAGATCTGATTTCCGATCTACACATTGCAATCCTTGCCACCGCAGTCACACAAAGCAGTGCATTTCAGTCATGTTTGCTTGCATTTGCAGCGTCCTTTACATCCCTTCTTGCACCCACAGCGCACCAGCTCGCTTGATGCTGAGCTGGCCTCAGGCAGGGTTGTCCAGAATGGCTTCCAGTCAGTGGGGTCGACCCATTCCCCAGTCGCTTGGAGATGGCAATTCTGGGGCCACTTCAAGAGCTTTTCCCCAGCAATGTCCACCCTGGTACACAGCCAGCCCTCTTGATATGCTGCAACAGTGCTGCCTGAGTGGGAGGGATATCATCCATAGCACGTCCTGTCTTAGAAAATAACTCTTGTCAAGCATCATTGATGTTCTCCCTACTGCTCGTGCGGTCATAGAGCAGGATAACGAACCGTTCCAGCACAGAAACTTGAGCTTCAGATACATCATCTGGTCCTTCTGACAAAGCTAGAAATGTTGGGGTCACCTCCTCAAACGCCTGCCATTTACCCCACCCAATTTTTCCCCCCTCGTGCTGAAAGATGAAACAGTATCACAGCCAGTGTAGGCGTGAAAGAGTGGGACAGCCTTGGATTTCTCAGGTCCAATCGAAGCAGAGATCTCGTGTGCAGGTATATAGCGAAGTGCTGACCAGTTCCAAAGACAACCCATACCTCCTGGACTTCTACCCTGACTACTGCAGCCAGTGGCTAGTGACATTGGTTTCTGGCACATCGGGTTTGGGTTGTGCACAGCAAAGTTCCAGGCACACAAGCAGATCTGAGCCTGTCATCCTGAGATAATGATGGGGGACATACTTAATTCTCATGTTGGAAGAAATCCTCCAGGTTGCCATCTCGGGACTGGCAGGCAGTGTAGAGTCGTGAGAAAAGAGAACAGTCACTCTTCAAGGAAGCGACTTGCAAAGTGCTCTTGGATACCTCCCTTGTAGGGGGTCGACTGAATAGAGCCAGCTTGTTCTTCTTGATTGGCTCCATAATAGATACTGATCGTTGCAGCAATCGGCCATCTACATAGGACTGATACTGCTGCTGGCCTATCTCCTCAGCCTGGCCAAATGAAGACGCCACAGCAGGATCAACAATGTCTCTTGCGTTCAGTCTCAGAAGGTCACGCTTTTCTTCATTAAATGGGTTGCCCATTTCCACCAAGACTTCAACAAGATGCCGAGTGCACCAGTCATCGAATCGACCAGCTTGGCTTCCTGGTTCCAGGGAATCTGTGAACTGGGTGTAAGCCTTCCTCGGTAGGTTGTACAAGCTGCTGGCAGTCACTCAATGTGCGTGTTTGGTTCTTGTGACATGGGATGCCTTCAGTAAGGAATCTGCAGTTCCAGCATATGCCACCTTTGCCTGGACAAGGACCTCTACCCACCCACTCTCTTCTAGCCAGTCTCCAATCACCTTCAGTGCTGCCATCTCAATGTGGAGGCCTCCCAGGATAATGATGAAATGGTCCTCTCCATAGTCTACTGGCCAGTGCCACTGTATCTGCTTCGCAATTGCGTAGAGTGGTTGATCCACAGTGATCACTGGTACTTGACCTGGGTTGATTATCTGCGCGGCTTGCATGATCACATCCATTGAGTGCTGTATCATGGCAACAGACTTTGAGTCATCAGGAAACAGAGGTAGCAGTGCAGTGATAGCAGGGATGCACTCCTGTGCTGGCTGGTGACTGGCATGATAGGTGGCCCAGAATATATTACTGTCACTGCCGACATCCAACAGATACGTCTTTTCCACCCACTCCAGCCATCTGAATCATATAATAAGAAAATGACAAGTCTTGTTGCTGCAGTGGCTTTTGCAGTGCCTTGAGGAATTACACAATGAATGATACTGACCTCGTCTCATGTTGCAATGCTTGATGGACCACCTGGCCACCCCCCTTGACTGGACCATCAACCTTGGGGATCGTCAAATCCTTCTTTGTCAATTGCAGTGGTCGTACACTGGTATATGATTCAGGCAGCTCCAGTAGTGTCTTTGTGGTTGATGTCTGATCCAGAATGCGATGTTTCCTGCAGTCAGTTCCAAGATGCTGAGGATGAGGGTGTTGGAAAAGTGACATGCCTGTACCATGGAAGGACTCTCAGTAGCTGTTGTTGAGCTGGGGTTGTGGTCAATATTGTCAATGGCAGCAGTAGTAAATAGCCCTTGTCGCAGGTTTCGAGGACACACAATCTGATCACAATGGTACTGCTCACACACTCTGTTACCCAGTTCAGTGGAGATTTCCAACACTCGATCATATGATATGGACATTCCCAGTTCGAATAGCGTTTCTACCAGGTCCCGCTTCCGAGTTCTTGCATGGATTGTGAGGCCCACATACATGGGCAGTGGTGTTTCTTTAGCTTTGCTGTGATGAACTCCTGTACTTTCAGCCCGTCGATGAATGGAACTGTTGAACAGAAGTAGCTGAGCCAAACTGAGAGTTGCCTGATGTACTGCACCATCTGTCTGGGTTTTTATGTTTGGTCCCTCAAGGATTATGGATACCAGTGCCATAAGTGACTGAGGAACAGCTTTCTTTTGACAGTCATGATCAAATGATCCTGTGAATACTGCTCGCATCCCAAACATGTCCCTGCAAAGAATCTTGGCAGTCTTTGACAGGCAGATGGCTTCATCACCATAGTTGTCTTCACATGCCTTGTGTAAAACAGGCCCTATGTCTTCTTCAAATGCAGGAAGCACATCACGACCTTCTTTGTGTGCACTCAAGCCTGGAATGTGAGCAAGAATCCGATTTTTCAGCCTGGTGCTATGGGTACGCACATTTTGCTCAACTCCTAGTTGTTCTAAACGTGCCGAGTAGAGTCGGGCAAGATCAGCTAGTTTGAATACAGTTTTTTTCTCATCATCCAGTTTGTCTTCCTCAATGTATGAGAGCAGCTCAGCCAGGGCAATGCCATGGCTGACCTTGAAAGTTTCATCCCCTAGATCATCCTGATCTTGCAGTGCTGCAGCTTTGTTGTACAGTGACGCCAAGCAAAGTGCATGATACTTAGCCCCCTGTGCCATCATGTCCCCAGCACTCAGTTTGGCAAGGAGCCCTTGGTCTTGCAGGTCTACTGCACATTGTCTAACACGACTGTCCAGGCGGAAAGTGGACACTTCGTGGAGTTGCTCTGTAACAGATGCCTTCTCACAGAAGAAGCAGGCATTTTCTGATGTGGCATCCTGTTGATGACATTGACGGGTAAACTTTTTAGTGCTTGAATCAGGGTCATCATATTTTGCTGTTTACTTCCTCTTTTCTGCCCTTTGTAGCCTTGCAGCAGTAAACTTTGAAGGCAGTATTTGTGCCACTTGGCCTTGTTCACCTGCATAGTAATGGCTATGCCACCTCCTTCATCTTGGCGTCTCACATCTATGGGCATGGGTAATGTATACAGCTCTTGGAAAAGCACAATGTTCTCTGAAAAGGTTGAGTAACCATGGCCAGCACCAACATCATGACACTTTGATTCTGCTGGGCATTGCAAAGCTTGGCTGTTTGGCAAAGACAACACCTGGTCCAGTCAGTTATGGGTGTCTTTTTGCATGGATCAGGTTGCTCTGGACTATAACGCTGATAGGCTTGAGACATTGTCACTGTTACCACCACCACCTCGAAATTACACTTTCTGCTAACTCAGCATTAATTCTTTGCACACACTGGAGCTGCAAAAGACCATGTTCTGCATCATTCAAACATAGCTTAAAATTACTAATATCGGGGGCAATATTCCAGTTATTTAGGACCTGCAAAGAGTCATTATTGATAAATAAATACAAACATTTCAACATCGCGAGTGATTTAGAGTCACCATTTTCAAGACTTTTTTTCTGGTGGAGCCAATTCTGGAATTGTTCTTTAGGGAATGGTCTATGACTATACCAAATTTCATGCTTTTATGACAAAATGCACAATCCCTTGATATTGTTCACATAACTGCTGGACTAGATGTGATTCAGCAATACCAACGATGTCCAGGTTGTCGTTTCACGAAAGCCCCTCAGCGCTACGACCTCCTTACCGCCCTCTTTATGATCTCCTTCAGACCGTTTCACGAAAGCATCTTAACAAGTCCTAAAGTCAATCTTAAACTAGAATGTCGACCTTACGACATCGTATTTAACATAGCAACGGGACACCTGTCAATTCCATCGATGGATGATCAAAGGGGCATCGTTTATACACCGAGACGGTTCCCGATCCAGACATTTAAAAGGAAAGCATGGGCTGAAAGCACTCTACTATTCAGTTATTTGTCGTAATCATATATTTCCATTATAAACTATCAACATTCTGGAGACTATTTGAGGAATACGTGAGCGTGGTCGACCCTCATCTCTCGTGTGTTGTGAGGAGCTTCGTGGGAACACTCTATTGCCTACGATAGTGAGTTTGTCCTCTCCGAACGTCTTTACTATTGTTCTCAGGCTCTGCATATGCCGAAGCTGCTCTGGTGTACTGTACGCTGCGAAGTAAACATCTTTAAAGTTTCTGGCTGTCTTTAGATTTGCTTTCTTTTTAAGGATTGTCTTCTTATCATCAGGTGACACACACGTAGCAAGCACAACGCCAGGTTTATAATCATTATATGTTTTGTTCCCTTCTCAGCATGTGGAAAGGTTATATCAATGATCTTAAGACCATCTCTGACCACTGAGTTTACTTTATTTACAATGTTTTCATTTTTGGATTCAGCTAGACTCATAAACACAACTTTCACTTCTGTGTTGATCGTCATTAGATATTGACGCCGTCTCACGCTCCACTGTCTGCACGCGGTCTGTCAGGGGTTATCTCCCAGTTGGTAGACAGCCAGTTGTTAGACAGTCAGTTGTTAGACAGCCAGTTGTTAGACAGTCAGTTGTTAGACAGCCAGTTGGTAGACAGCCAGTTGTTAGACAGTCAGTTGTTAGACAGCCAGTTGTTAGACAGTCAGTTGTTAGACAGCCAGTTGGTAGACAGTCAGTTGGTAGACAGCCAGTTGTTAGACAGCCAGTTGTGAGACAGCCATTTGTTTGACAGCCAGTTGTTAGACAGTCAGTTGGTAGACAGCCAGTTGTTAGACAGTCAATTGGTAGACAGTCAGTTGGTAGACAGCCATTGGTAGACAGTCAGTTGGTAGACAGCCAGTTGGTAGACAGCCAGTTGGTAGACAGTCAATTGGTAGACAGTCAGTTGGTAGACAACCAGTTTGTAGACAGTCAGTTGGTAGACAGCCAGTTGTTAGACAACCAGTTGGTAGACAGTCAGTTGTTAGACAGTCAGTTGGTAGACAGCCAGTTGGTAGACAGTCAGTTGGTAGACAGCCAGTTGGTAGACAGTCAGTTGGTAGACAACCAGTTGGTAGACAACCAGTTGGTAGACAGTCAGTTGGTAGACAACCAGTTGTTAGACAGCCAGTTGGTAGAAAGCCAGTTGGTAGACAGTCAGTTGGTAGACAGCCAGTTGTTAGACAGTCAGTTGTTAGACAGCCAATTGTTAGACAGCCAGTTGTTAGACAGTCAGTTGGTAGACAGCCAGTTGGTAGACAGCCAGTTGGTAGACACACAATTGGTAGACAGTCAGTTGGTAGACAACCAGTTGGTAGACAGTCAGTTGGTAGACAGCCAGTTGGTAGACAGCCAGTTGTTAGACAGCCAGTTGTTAGACAGCCAGTTGGTAGACAGTCAGTTGGTAGACAGCCAGTTGGTAGACAGTCAGTTGGTAGACAGCCAGTTGTTAGACAGCCAGTTGGTAGACAGCCAATTGTTAGACAGCCAGTTGTTAGACAGTCAGTTGGTAGACAGCCAGTTGTTAGACAGCCAGTTGGTAGACAGTCAATTGGTAGACAGTCAGTTGGTAGACAACCAGTTGGTAGACAGTCAGTTGGTAGACAGCCAGTTGGTAGACAGTCAGTTGGTAGACAGTCAGTTGGTAGACAGCCAGTTGTTAGACAACCAGTTGGTAGACAGTCAGTTGTTAGACAACCAGTTGTTAGACAGTCAGTTGTTAGACAGTCAGTTGGTAGACAGTCAATTGGTAGACAGCCAGTTGGTAGACAGTCAGTTGGTAGACAGCCAGTTGGTAGACAGCCAGTTGGTAGACAGTCAGTTGGTAGACAGTCAGTTGGTAGACAGTCAATTGGTAGACAGCCAGTTGGTAGACAGCCAGTTCGTAGACAGCCAGTTGGTAGACAGCCAGTTGGTAGACAGCCAGTTGGTAGACAGCCAGTTGGTAGACAGTCAGTTGGTAGACAACCAGTTGGTAGACAGCCAGTTGGTAGACAGCCAGTTGGTAGACAGTGGAGCGGAATGCTAATTACGGCAATACCCACAGAGATAATGGAACAGTCCTACTCAGCGGCGTAATTCGCCTTATCTCTAGGATATGTGGGATTACAGATTTGTGTTTGTTCAGTGTGTGTTACAGTATGGTAATCCTATATGAAATTTGTTTGATCTTCCTGACAGCTTTTGCATACTGAAGACCTGCCTTGGTCATATTTGTTGTGTCACTGGATATCTTCTCTTTTAGTATGTTAATCCTCTATGAAGTTTGTGGATAATGAATACCTCTCTTTATCATGTTTTTTGTCACTAGATTGGTACTCCAGATGCACTTTTCTGATTCTAATAACATCTTTAATTACAGAAGAATCAAACCTTATATAAAAGAAAACACTATCTTATCCTCCATATGTCTTCGTTATTGCTTATTCAATACCAGATTGATTCCACTTAGCTTCTTCAGCACTGTTTAGAAGTACATGGTAAGCATCTTAGCTTAGGACTGGGAAGAATGTCGTACATAAAATTACAAATCTTTCGGGAGCAGTTTTCCAAACGTCTTCTCACCTTGACGCATGCACACTCTTGTTATGTTATCACACAGTTATGAATATAACCATATAATTTCAACAACCTGTCTTAAACCGAGGAAGCCATGTGTCCCTGTAACCCCATATGACAGAATAATACCTAAATTCACTGAACACACGTGTTCATCAAAACAAGAATTTAGAACTACATGTATACAGGAAGTGCCGGATCTACTGCCTTCTACAATAATACATAATAATCGAGCAGTTTCTCAGAAAGGGAAAAATATATAAAAAAAACCCCTGACTTTTCCAGAATAGGATTCCTTGAAGCATCTATAAAAGATTAAACACGTGATCACCACACACACACAGCTCAGTGCCGTTAACAGTGACATATCAGCGTTGCAAAGGATAGTACTGTTTATCGTTTGGCTAAACTTCTGTAAAAAGTTTTTGTATTCGACAATAAACACTAATCTAATTAATTGTTTGAAGGAATACATAACAATATAAGAGTTACCAAACTATGTAATGTAGCAAGGAAATATCAACATGCGAGTTATCAGGTTAGTTAATTGTTTGACCATAAAGAACACTGGACTTCCTTGTGAATGAAAAAAAGACAAAACCGATTGCATTAGGCAATATAAACGTGTGGGCAACTACTGTCTCCTTCAGTATACATGGGTATGCCTTTTTAAAGCGTTCATTAAATATCAACATGTATTTGTCTGCAACCTCACCGGCAGCACGTGGCACAATGTTTACAGACGTTAACCACACGTCTAGGTGGACACGGTGAATATTGTACGTAATCAGTCCTCCGTAGGACACCCTGGTCAATGGTCCGTATTACAATGTATATAGACGCATTCCAAGCACCTGTGCTAAGTACACTGTACAATACTACACTGCCATGACTGCAGGTTAAGGAGAACAAATACACAAACAAAACAAAATCACCAAAATGTTTAAATGTACAAACACTGAATCAATTGTTCCGTGATGAACTCGTGTAGATAATGGGGAAAGTTGCCCCCTTCAATGATTGTGAATACTATATACTCCAAACGTGTCCGATAATCGCACTGTTCATAATTGTGAATAATATATACACCCCTCAAGATTAGGAGTGCCAGATAATCGCACTTATATGGTCGTGTGGGTAAAAAATTACAAATTTCGAAATAATTCGTTTGAATTTTATATATGTTGCGTGTATGATGTGTGGTATATCTGCTATCATATCATCTTACCGAGGCAAGGGAGTTATCTGGCCTCGGACTATAGACTTTTACAGACAGTTAACTTCCTCGCCTCAGGAAGATGCTATCATGAATGTTTATTGAGGAATTGGTTTTCTCAGCAATCCTTACTTTTTGTGTTCAGTTATTTCAGTCTGGTAAAGTAATAAAGGTGTGTGTCAGGATCTGACATAACACAGAGGTGTTTGTCAGGATCTGACATAACACAGAGGTGTGTGTCAGGATCTGACATAACACAGAGGTGTGTGTCAGGATCTGACATAACACAGAGGTGTGTGTCACGGATCTGACATAACACAGAGGTGTGTGTCACGGATCTGACATAACACAGAGGTGTGTGTCACGGATCTGACATAACACAGAGGTGTGTGTCAGGATCTGACATAACACAGAGGTGTGTGTCACGGGTCTGACATAACACAGAGGTGTGTGTGTAGGGCATCTAAGGCAACCAGATTAATCACCCAAATATGTTTATAGCAATTAAATCCGTTTTAAATTCATTACATGTTTTTGCATATGCATCGTTGGAGACAGGTATTCATCATATTTTCATCACGGTAGAATTTCAAAATGAAACTTTCTGAAAGATGGGAATAATATATCCTACAAAATTAATAAATCTAGTACTCAAATAAAATATGAAACACATGCTTATAAAAATGCTAAACATTTTTATTCAGGAAGAAATAAATACAAAAGACTTATGTACAATAGAAGACAATTTATTTACAACTTTGGCACTTTGACGGATCACTGCGACTCATCTAGATATGTAGAAGTACAAAGTTACAACATTGAACAGAAATAGATGCTTCAAACCGTGCACAATACAAAATGTGAATATTGCCCTAAACATTGGTGACGCTCGAAACACTGAGCCACTGTGGAGTCAAAATTGACAATGTGGTGTTTTCCTAAACACTAAGAGTATGTGCAGCACATAGATGCTCTTTTAATAAATAAAGATAATGAATCACAGTTATCAATGACCAATACCCTTAAATGTCTTGGATTATTGTTTCGATTATGGCAAGATGAAGGAGTGAAATATTATGACGATAAACAACAAATATAAACATCTTAGTGAACACAAGTTGAACTTGTTCCTTCTGGTGCCATGACCTACGGTCTGTCTGAGCAGAGTTAGGAGGCCATAGTGTATACACACGCAGGAAACACCCTGATGCAGAGGAAAGTACAGGAACAGACATGACATCTAGAAATCTACATGCAACTGACACATCTGAAGTCGTGGTGTACAGTTATCAACACAGCCGAATCCTTCCCTAACTTGAGGGATGGCATCAGGCTGCCAAAGACACCTGGCGCTGGACTGATCCTAGGTACTCCTGTAACAGATGAACAGTCAGATATAATCAAATACAGTCAAATACCTATTAGATACTGTCAGACACAGGCACATAGTGTCACATACCATTGGATATAGTGAGATATAGTCACATACCGCCAGCTACAGGCATGAGTATTCAGATGCACTCTAATACCCTTAGATACTGTCAGATACTGCCACATACACTTTGATAAAGTCAGATATAGTCGTATACCCCAGATATAGCCAGCTACAGTCATACATGGTCAGATAAGACATATAGAGTCAGATACATTGACATATAGCCAGGTAGTCAAATATTGTCAGATACCATTTGCTATAATCAGATACAGTCACATATAGTCAGAAATAGTCATATACCTACAGATATAACCAGATAGTCATATATAGCCAGGTACAGTCATATATAGTCAGAAATAGTCAAATACCTACAGATATAACCAGATACAGTCACATATAGCCAGGTACAGTCATATATAGTCAGAAATAGTCAAATACCTACAGATATAACCAGATAGTCATATATAGCCAGGTATAGTCATATATAGTCAGAAATAGTCATATACCTACAGATATAACCAGATAGTCATATATAGCCAGGTACAGTCATATATAGTCAGAAATAGTCAAATACCTACAGATATAACCAGATAGTCATGTATAGCCAGGTACAGTCAAATATAGTCAGAAATAGTCAAATACCTACAGATATAACCAGATAGTCATATAAAGCCAGGTATAGTCATATATAGTCAGAAATAGTCATATACCTACAGATATAACCAGATAGTCATATATAGCCAGGTACAGTCATATATAGTCAGAAATAGTCAAATACCTACAGATATAACCAGATAGTCATATATATCATGGTACAGTCATATATAGTCAGAAATAGTCAAATACCTACAGATATAACCAGATAGTCATATATAGCCAGGTACAGTCATATATAGTCAGAAATAGTCAAATACCTACAGATATAACCAGATACAGTCACATATAGCCAGGTACAGTCATATATAGTCAGAAATAGTCAAACACCTACAGATATAACCAGATAGTCATATATAGCCAGGTACAGTCATATATAGTCAGAAATAGTCAAATACCTACAGATATAACCTGATAGTCACATATAGCCAGGTACAGTCATATATAGTCAGAAATAGTCAAACACCTACAGATATAACCAGATAGTCATATATAGCCAGGTACAGTCATATATAGTCAGAAATAGTCAAATACCTACAGATATAACCAGATACAGTCACATATAGCCAGGTACAGTCATATATAGTCAGAAATAGTCAAATACCTACAGATATAACCAGATAGTCATATATAGCCAGGTACAGTCATATATAGTCAGAAATGGTCTTATACCTACAGATATAACCAGCTAGTCATATATAGCCAGGTACAGTCATATATAGTCAGAAATAGTCAAATACCTACAGATATAACCAGATAGTAATATATATCATGGTACAGTCATATATAGTCAAATACCTACAGATATAACCAGATAGTCATATATAGCCAGGTACAGTCATATATAGTCAGAAATAGTCAAATACCTACAGATATAACCTGATAGTCATATAGCCAGGTACAGTCATATATAGTCAGAAATGGTCATATACCTACAGATATAACCAGATAGTCATATATAGCCAGGTACAGTCATATATAGTCAGAAATAGTCAAATACCTACAGATATAACCTGATAGTCATATATAGCCAGGTACAGTCATATATAGTCAGAAATAGTCAAACACCTACAGATATAACCTGATAGTCATATATAGCCAGGTACAGTCATATATAGTCAGAAATGGTCATATACCTACAGATATAACCAAATTCCTTTATCATCCAGAACTGGCTCCCACAGGAGATATCATTTGTGTGAGATCAAGCCATATCTACATTGTAGATATGGCTGCAATGAAATTGCAACACGATGCTTTGCAGACCATTGTGACATCATTGGTTACCATGACGTCACAATCAAAGTACATCACTAATGGCTCTGCTACTGAATCTGTTAGCAGTACTTTTTACACTTGAGACACAGCTTATTACTGTCTACAAACTGAAAAAGTTGAAAGAATGAATTTTTTCCACTTTTATCAACTTGTGTTGATATATTTGATATCAAAAGACACTTGGGTGAGATTCTCTATATATAGCCAGGTACAGTCATATATAGTCATAAATAGTCATATACCTGCATATATAACCATATACAGTCATATATAGCCAGGTAAAGTCATAAATAGTCATATACCTGCATATATAACCATATACAGTCATATATAGCCAGGTCAAGTCATAAATAGTCATATACCTGCATATATAACCATATACAGTCATATATAGCCAGGTAAAGTCATAAATAGTCATATACCTGCATATAAACCATATACAGTCATATATAGCCAGGTAAAGTCATAAATAGTCATATACCTGCATATATAACCATATACAGTCATATATAGCCAGGTAAAGTCATAAATAGTCATATACCTGCATATATAACCATATACAGTCACAATAACCAGGTACAGTCATGTATAGTTAGAAATGGTCCTATGGTAAGATTATCCGGTAACTACTGCCTCTGGGACTTAACATGTAATATTTGAGACAGAACAATTTTTCTGAACCCACAACACCTTAAGTTTCAAAATACCAAGCATGTCCACTGAACAAAATGTGGACAATATATTTCTTCCAGCATGTTTCGGAACAGATTATTAATTGTCTTGGTCGGCCCTTATGGCCTTCTTGAGATGTCCGTACATACCTTCAGTTGTTCTGTCAAGACATCTCGAACCACCGGGGTTCTGTTGCTGCTCCACCAGTCGGGCATGTACTGCAAGACAACAGTAGGTGCATTAGCAGGTGCAGTACAGCAGGTGCAGTACAACAAGTAGGTATTGACAAAAGAACCTCATGGTTGATAGCGGGTACTTTACTTTAAAAAGGGGACGTAACACGGTCAAATTAGCAGTCACAGCAAGTAAGACTCGTGTGGATCAAACATCACTTTGTTCGTCTGCTAACTCAAAATGTATTATATTAGTATAATAGTTAATAAGTTTCATAATCACAGAGAGCCAAGGACTCCACACAAGGTAAAACTTAAAACGATTTTCAACTATTCTGAAAATGGACAATATTTAACATATGCAAGTGATATATCACTTGCAAATGGAGATTTGTTAATGAAATGAGTTTACTGAGTAAAGGGGCCACCGGCCCATGATACAAAGCACATATGACACTGAATTACATAGGTGCACCATGGCAATTTATGGTAGCAAAAGCATACTGGTCATACATGGGGGTCGAGGCACTTTTGTCGTTCTTTAAATGCTAAAAATATATGTTTACAAAGTGTTTCACAAACACTTTTAGAGAAATTTGTATTCCCATACCAAATTCAATCAATAAGTATGACCCAAATTGACTTTGGCATTAATGTTTACACAAGATTCCATAGATAACACCAGCTGTAATCCAATTTTGGAAATGCTTGAATGTAAATATCAATACATCTCTGCCTATAAAGTACAACAGAATTCTTTAGGAATTACTTCTTGATTGTCCCAAACATAAGTAAAACCGTTTAAATATAACAGTTTCATTTCACATTTAATGCCCAACATGTTATGTCCTTTTCAGCAATATTATACTGATAAGAATAGACCTGATTTAAAATAATATTACTCTTATCCTGTTGCTCAAGGAAAGGCGTGCTTCATTTGGTATGGAAATCAGAATGTCATCTGTGGGATATTAAATACTCACCCTCCACAAGAAAGACGCCTGGTCGCAAGGTTTGCAGACAGTTTTGCCCATTCCTGTCGCATCCTGTTCACACTTGCATGTTTGACACACAGGTGGTGCTGCTGTCATGGCAACACGGGAGGCGAAGTTCCGGACAAATTCCCTCCTGTTCTTGGAGCTTCCACCCTGCATATGGGTGGAGTCGAAGATTGAGCCATTAGAGTTGAGGGCAAGTTGGGAACATCTGTCGGCTGGCTGGACTAGCTTCTTGAACAGCTCCTCATTGCGCGTTCGGCGAGACCTCATGGTGAAAATCTGTGCTTGGTCCATGCCTGTAGATAGGACGGGAAATGTTTTAACCCTTTTACAACATTAACGCGCCTTCACCAGTGTAAGGTTGCATTGTGTTATATAAAGGACTCATTTTGAATACAAATGTTTGGACTTATTTGAACTCCCATTAAAACTAAGAACTTTATATCATCCATCGCTGTTATAACACTCACCATATATCTGAACATTTCTGACAGGCCTGTTGTCTCGGATGTCCATGGGCTTGCTGCGGAGTACATGCATGACGAAACCATGGGCTGTCAGTATGCCGTCCATGTCCACATGAGCCTCATTGGCCTCACAGTCAGAGGCTGGGATAAACAAGATGACCTTGGCCACTCCTGTCCTGAAGGGGTAGGTGGTGGCAAGTCTGATGGCGGCCAGGCCGTCCCCTGCTACCTTGCTGTCGGAGTACACAATACTTTCAACGCCCCTCAAGAATCTTTTGGCATGGCTGAAGAGATGACCGTCAAATGTTCGACTATGCTCCATCTCTAGGCGCCCGGGCCCTCCGTAGCCAACCAAGCCATACTTGTTCTGGTTGATACCTGTAGGGGAAAAAGATATGAACCTAAGATGAAATCTATTCCCCAATTCTATGCTCCATTATATTACTAAAGAAATGTGGTTCGTCTGTTGTTTTAGCAATTACAGCTTCATCTTGTTCACGGCCTGTATGAAACCTGGGGCATCTGGGACATCTGAACCAGTGATTGAAGGAACGAGCAATGTCCCAGGTCGTCCAGTATGATGACACGCAAATAGTTACAGAGCCTAACCACTTGATCCATTACAAGCCCTTAATGAGTGAGTGAGTGAGTGGTTGAGCTGGGTTGAATGCCGCTTTGAACAGTACTACGGTTATATCACGGCGTCTCAAACTTCTAACGTCCAGATGCTTAGAACGTATCATATCCCATGAGCAACGGGACACTAATTAAGGCCCGAAACGTTAGGTTTAATGAACAAAAGAAGGGACTGAGTGAGAGAGTGGGTTTTTGCGGTTTTGATGGTATTTCAGTTATATCATTATTGTTGGCTGATTGTGTACATAAGTCCAAAGTGACGCACTAAGTAGATATTTACCAATTGCTATAACAACTCGAGCACGGGCATGGTTCAGACCATGAATCACTGTCACTTCCCACATCCTGGCACTAGTAAAGCACACAACTCTACACAGCGAAGTGCTGCCTTGGGCTATCACAGAACCTCTCAACTTATGACCAGGCTGAGACATACCAACATTCCCGAGTGCAGAGTCCACTTCAGTGATGAGATCTCCAAGTGTTGTTGCTGTTAACTTCTGAGTGTTCTTCTCCTCTAGAACCAGGATGACGTCTGCGGACGATGGCAGCGACGCTTCCTTGTCTCCAGCGGTCAGCTGCACGGACATACCACTGGTGATGGAGGTCAGGTCGCTGGTCAGGGCACAGCTTACTGAAGGGGAAATGATAATTGTGTGAAGCACTTCATACATGTAATGAGTACATTTTTTAAAAATTGTTAGTAAACAGATCTCATCTCCATACATTAGGATAATGATTAGACACAATAGTATATACTTAGTTACTACTGACCACAGTTCGTGGGCACACTCAGGTAGACACCGTGGGTTCTGCAGAGATGCGTATACTGGGCAGCGGTCCTGCAGCTGGCATTAGTGGGTGTGGCTCCAGTCTGGACGTAACCTACACACGTGTGAAGGAACTCTTCAGCTGGTACCTACAACAGCCAATAGTTCAACTTAAAACACGGACACTCTTCGCTGTATTTTCAACAGCATTTACACATCAGTGTAACTACATTACTATGTATTTGTTGTCTGTCTGACTGACTTACCACAGAGAAGCAAGGTCTGAACTGAGATGTCTGGGCCTTGAAGTATGCTACACACTCTGGGTAGATGGAGTCAACATTGGCCATGCTGATCTCGGTGGCCTTGTTGGAGGCTCTGCATGATCGGTGACCAACCTCCCAAGAGTTGGCGAAGTCAGTTACATCAGTCAGTTTCTGGCGATTGATGGAGAGCATGTCGTTACTGTTCTCGTTGTCAAATGTTCCAAGGAGTCCGGCAACCCTGCCGTGGTACCAACCACTCAGTCCGATAGTGTAGATGTCGTTGACTGGATCTACCTCCACGGTCAGCCCGGTACCGTCATCGACGGTAATGTGATAGTTCTCCCTGATGGCCTCCACCTTGCCCTGGGTGAAGGGCAGCTCCACTGGCTGGTCGTTCACCAAGACCTGGAAGAGGCAGAGACAATATGTTACATGGCCGATGATATGCTTTAGACTCGGACCACTGCGGTACTGATCATTGCTTGTTGTTTAACGGCTCACTAATCTTAGCATTTCATTTTTGCCTGGGTATTAAATGGTAAGAGGTATCGATGGGGCTGACCTTGTAATTGGTGCCGACTTCAATGTTAATGCCTCTCAACATGACAAGCATAGACTTCTTCTTGGGAGCACGCATGTTGTTGTCGTAATTGACGACTACTGTGAAGTTATCATCGACCATGTCGCGTGTCAGCACATAGCTGCAGCGTCCGGCAAAATCAAAGTGATTCTTGTCAAATGTGATGAAGTGCTGGTTACCCACAACTGCTGCATAGGCTGTAAAGAGAACAAGACCTATGTGTTACAGGAGGACCTCCATCCACAGACGTGTAAACATCATCACCTATGTGGGATTGGGCTGGCCTATAGAACACCCTGCCATGTAAATAATGCATTATATCTTTCTACAAATTTTGTAATAAAAATTGACTGCATGCAGTTTCTTATAATGAATTCTAGCGAAAATACCATGTAGTTTGAAGCCAGAGCTGTGAAACCTAGCTAGTGTATACCAAAAATCGTTGCAACTGAGTGTCGCCATCTGTGCACCCCACAGCTGTATGCCCTTATGTCTTACCTCTGTAAGGTGGCATCCATGTGGATGAGTCCACTGAAGGAACAAACTTGTAGTAGGTGTCCCACACGGAGTAGTTTCTGCCAGGGATGTATCTGTCAACAAAGTTCTTCACCTTGCGGATGTAATGGCGGATGTTGAAGTCCGGTGCTTCTGCCAGAGACTTGAGTGGGACAGGCAGGTATAGTTCCACCTGCAGCTCTCCGTTCAGGGGATCATACACAATAACCCTGGACTTGTCAAGGTCCACCAGGCTGTCCTTCAGTTTGTTCATTTCCATGAAAATCATGTCGCGCGATGCCTCGTACAGCCTGAGCATGGTGAGGCGGAGGTTGGAATCCAAGTCCCAGTATTTGTAGGTCCACACAAACTGCAATAACATAGAAGCATAACATAAGTATCGCCGGTAGAGAGAAGGAGCAGACACAGACAAAAAGAAACAAACAGAACAACCATTTAATAACAATGGAAAGCTGTAACACAATACCTGTTGGTGGATTTCATTCGCGATATGATGTGCTCGTTTCAGGTCTTGGTGGATGTTCAGGGATTCAAACGCTTCCTTCGCCTTAATCTTCATCACATTGTACTTTTCTCCCAGCGCCAGGGGTTCTAGAGCCTTCTGTAAGGCCCCATCTAGGATTTCCCCATATTGTTTGTAGTCCACTTCTGGTAGGCTGGCAACCTGAGACTTCAGGTTGGCATATGTGGCCCGGATGCCTTTTACTTTAGGATGATCCATGATTGATGAAGCGAAACCTGGATCATTCAATAAAACATGCATCATGGGAGTACCCTGACATATACGTTAAACGTACAATTCATGGGGAATCCACCACACCCATTAGTGACATAAATGAAGCAGCAGACAAATATATGATGTATTTACTAAATCTATAAAATTTTGGTTTCATAGTTTGCTGCTTAATTGCTGTGCCGCTTGTGAGAATGTTATTGTTATTCCACAAACCTTTCATTTTCCTTTGCAGAGAACGTGTGTATGTAAGGTAGGACTTGTACAGTTCATTGGATGCCTTGTCCATCTGGTATGTCCACATCTGCATCTTGGCTGCACTCAACTGGCGGAAGTTCTGAACATACAGTTACATTACAAAATAACATGAAATGAAGAGCATATATTGCCAATAAATGCCCCAAACCATGCACCTATTCTTCATATATGATAAAAGGAATGGTGTAACATTACTGTTTCAACATATCTGGAATCCTATTTCCTCCAACACCACCCCCTCCCTGGAGTTTCAGAGTCGCTGGTACACTGCACGTGTGTCGTAGGAGCTGGTCATATGATTATCATACATTCAAATCCACTGAAGCCATGTTAGGTACTGGAAACCTGGAGAGTACTGACTAATGCATGACATGCTTATATACTCACCTTGAGATCACTGATGAGCTTATCTACAAACTGCATATATTTCTGAGTGATTGGGTAGTTCTTGACAGTGTGAAGCAACTGTGTTAAGGTCCTTTCAGTCTTCATATAGAACCTTTCAAACTCTTCAACAAAGTTGCCAAATCCTCCACTGAAACAAACATCTGCTAATAACCCTGTTGTCACAAACTGAAACTCATATATTTGGAACTGAAAACAGTCCTTAAACTTAATCATTTTAAATTAAACATTTAACATCGCATTGCGATTTCAGAGCCACTTATGTCTTCTGAGCACTATTTCTTTTGAAGAGCTGACTACCATGGAGATGGGAGGAGTACAATGTGTGGAGCAGATTGTGTGGACTGTCGCACATTATACAACCACTGGTCTCTAAATACATGACTGTGATGCACATCAACATTGAATTAGTATGGTTTTACGCCACCTTTAGCAATATTCTAGTAATATCACAATGGGGGGGGGGGGGGGGGGGGGGGGAGGGGAGGGGGGGAGGGGGACACCTGACATCGGCTTCCCACATTGTACCCATGTGAGGATTCAAACCCGCCATTCCACGCAATGTATCAAATATTGCAGACCATGATGCAAACACACCATTTCTCTGTGCATGTATAAAGGGCGGTCGGGTAGCCTAGTGGTTAAAGCGTTCGCTCGTCACGCCGAAGACCTGGGTTCGATTCCCGACATGGTACAATGTTTGAAGCCCATTTCTGGTGTCCCCGGCCGTGATATTGCTGGAATATTGCTAAAAGCGGCGTAAAACCATATTCACTCACTCACTCACTGTGCATGTATGTATGTATATGTAAGTCAACTTACAACATCTTGTTGAAAGCGCTATTGACAGCATTGCCCATGTCCTTGATATACAAGTCGTTCCTTCTATAAGCTCTGCGCACTTCACGTTGGACTAGGTCCAGATTGACCTTGGCATTTGCCATCTCCTTCTCCAGAAGAGTAAAGACTGGCTTCATTTCATTGAAGATTTCGTTGGCGATTCTGTTATATTTGGCTGTCACCTCCTGTCCCATTGCTTGAGACACTTCACTCGCTGCTTCATTCATCACATAGCTGTACACCAGCGCCTTGGACGACACGAACTGCTGCAGCTCCATGAGAGAGCTTGGTCGCCAGGTGACGCGTGTGTGGAGGATGTGGGATGAGTTGAGACGTACGGCTATCCAACTTTCTGGGATACGCTGCCGGCTGACCTTTCTGTAGATCTCAGCTTGGATGGCTGTGTCGTTCACATAGCCGGCTGACAGATGGATGCTGTCATTAGGATCCTCTGTAAACAGGACACATGGTCTTTTAGAAAACCTTGACAGCCGATCGACAATGAAGTTGATAATAAACATAGCAAATTCAGTGTGGATCATAATCTGCTTCTTTAAAGACTTAGTATCCATTTTAAATTTGGAGGAATGTATGGCTGTCAGTATAGGTAAGTATAGAAGGAACATGGCAAGTGAGAAATGAGAAGATCTTCAGAAAATGTTAATCACAAAGTTATGATTATTTAGGATGCATTTCAAAAGAAATGTTGGCCATGCCTTACCAGAGTTGTAGGCAAAGTCCAAGTTGAGTGTTTTTCTTTCAGTGTCGACCATGATCTCAGTGTTGACAACCTTGTTATGGTCGTAAGTATTGGTGAGTCCAAAGTGGTACTCAATGTCCTTAAACATCCGGCCACTCAGCACAACATGTTTCAGTGGGGAACTCGCCTGCAATATTTTTTTATCATTATAATTAGTGTTGCTTCAACATGTCATATATGTATTCACTTTCAACTTGGATTAATTTCTATGATAAATGTAAATCTGAATCCTAGGTTCAATTTTGACTTCAAATCAGAGATTTCATGTTATGTTAGAGTCAGACGTTTAGCAGGTTGACTTTTTACATTCAAACTACATATTAGGCAATTATTATTATGGAAATGAAAAAAGTCTTACCTCAATATTCATTTTCTTCATTTTGTGGTTTACATCACCTTTGAGAACAAAGTACTTCTTCTGTCTGTTCCGGGCTTCATAAGAGAGGACGAGACCACCCGAGCAGGACATGGAGGTGTTGCCCAGGTGTGTGTTCAGCAGCAGGTTGGTAGAGGTCGATGGGTGGTTGATACCCACAGACACAGAGTAGTTGTTGTAACCACTGGCACCCAAATTCTCCATCTTTGTGGTGAGAGTCAAGGCCTTGCGAGGATCTGGAGAATAGGTGAATATTGTTGTTCCATCTACGAGAACGTTGCCTTGATTTCTGATCATGGATGTTTCCAGCTTGTAGTCCTGATCACAAGAATAAGAAAATGTCTTTGTAGATTTCAGAAAATGTACATTAAGTATCAGGCCATGCAAGGGTTTATTTGAGAGCGTCCAGCTCAAATATATAATAAGGTTTAGGATGTGTGTTAATGTGGTTGCATTGTCACTGAACAGTACTACAGTTGTATTAAATGGTAACATTTTTACCTTTTTGATTGATGGTAGATGGACCAGGACAGACCTCTTGACAGACTTGCTTCTCTGATCCATATCCAACTTGACAGCCACTTGTTTGGTCTGGTCTCTCTCTGCATCCCACATCACTGTGGCATCTAAGCTCTTGCCAAACGTACTGTTAACATAGGATCCACCTACTTTGACACTTCTTGTTGGGACGACAACCAGAACACTGCCATCACTTGCTTGCCGATATCGACTATTTCGGTCATTCCACTGCACATCATAAGCAAATGTGCTGCCCATCTTTTGGTCCCAGGTAATGAGTGCTTTATTTTGCATTTGCATAGGGAGTTTCTTCACTACAGTCTCAATTCCCATTGTTCGCACTGGGTGGATAACCATAAATTTCAAGTCTGTGTCCACGTTAGCATTGACAGTTCTATCATTGTAGGCTGTCTCAAACTTGACGTTACTCTCAAGATCATCGTGGTTCCAATTAAGGAAGAGATCTGTGTGAAACTGTTTTACCTCATATTGACCATCAACTCTCATTGACATTGGTCTGGGTGTTCTGATATTGATGGAACCTTCATGTCGATGCCCATGCGTATAGTCCATGTCAGCATCGAGATAAGATTTCCCATTGTAGTCAAAAGTGATCCTCTCTGCAACCTTTTCAGAATTGTGCATGTGATCCAACTTGAAGTTTGTTGTGGCAATTTGGCTAAATGGAGTTGTGATGGATGTTCCAGTAGCCAGTTCAACCCCGCTCATATCGTTTACAAAGCGGAAATTCGAAGAAGTTGTGATAACTTTGCTCTTTTGCCAACCAAGTTCAGAATGGAGCTCAGATATATCTCCTGTCCTTGAGCCTCTTAGCAATAGTCTGATATCCTCCATGTTCTTCAAGCCACTTGACATCGTGAACAGTCCATTAAAATCCTTTCCCATCCGGAAGAGGGACGATGCTTCACAAGTTATTGTTTTCATTTTTGGGAGATTGGCTGTGACTGTTGTTCTAAAGTCACGAATATGTTGTCCCCGATGTGTGAAGTGCATTGTGATTTGTTCGTATCCTGTGAATGGTGTGTTCACCGTAGCACTACCTGTGTAGGGAGCACCGCTGGTATCAACAGTAGACTCTGCAGTGATAGCACCATGCTTACCAACATTAGCAGTGGCAGAGAATGTGTGGCGGGTGTTTCTCTTCTTGTAGTTTCCAGATGCTTTGATACTTCTGTATCCTTCATGGGGAGTGATTATGTTCAGGGTTGCAGTGACGGGTACAGTGTAGGCAACATTGGCATCAGCAGAATAGGTCTTCCGTCTATTTTGGTAAACCTCTGCCTCAGCTACCAACCTGTTTTTCCTCAAGCTATGCTGATATGTTAATTTGTAATCTTCATGACCCTTGTGAGGCGTCTTCAGCTCAACAGTAGTTTCAATCCTCTTTTCACCTTGTTTCAGGTTTTCAACTCTTGCTTCATAATCCATGTCATCCCGAATGTTGAATCTGGCATTGGTACTAAACCGGTTTTCATCCCCAGTGTGATCAAAGGAAACGCCAACATCAGTGTATTGTTTGAAAGGAGTGGTAAGTCTAAAATTACCTCTTGATATTCTTCCTCTCTGGAAAGATGTAACAGCATGCATTACTTTGGAGTTGAACTTTCCACCAAGCTCCACATTGAAGTTATTAATGTCACCCTGCTTGACAGCTGTAGCTCCAATCAACCTGCTTTCACCCTGCCAGGTGTATCCCGCATCGTAACGAACACTGAAGTCTGTGCTGCTAACCTTGAACGATATGGCCTCGTCAAGCTTGTAAGCTGTACCATAAGCCACTTCATACTTGGTTGAGAAGTCCGTCCAGTTACCAGTCATCATGTAGCTTAATTTCATGTTCTCAAGGGATGGTGTCTTCAGCACAGATGCAATACCAAAACGGTCATCTTTCAGGGCAAATTGAAGTGCACCTTCATGACTCTTTGTGCCATATATCAGGATTCCCTTCAATTTGAAGTCATTAATTCTACCTTCTCTATTAATCTTGGCATTTATGTTTTCAAAACCTTGGAATGGTGTCTTCACAAGAAGGGATCCAGTTGTTTTAGTGCCATGTCTGAATGAAACGTCTCCCTCAATTCGCTTATTGGCATACTGGACTTGTGTCTTAGATGTGAAATCTCTCCATGTTGTGCCGTGATGATTAATGGTTACTCTGATGGTCTCTAGTCGCTTTAATGGTGAGCGGAATGTTACACTGCCATCAACTCCATCATTCCAATTCAAATACAGGTCTGATTCTATCTTTTTCCCTGGTCCGTAACTCGCCTCAGCATGGGTCTGGATATTCTGCCTGGACATGGCATGGTTAAAATTAGCTGAAACAACTTTGTAAGTTTCAAAAGGAGTCTTCAAAGATGCCCGTCCTTCCATTGCCATGCCTGGTTTTTTGAAAGAGAGCTCAGCTTCGAACTTCCTGTACTTGGGATAGGGAGTCTCGAGAACTGAATCAAGTGCAAAATCAGTAATAGCATTGATATGATATGTAGTGTTCAGAACAATGACTTTGCTGGGATGATATTCCATTTTCAAATGACATGTCTTGCCAAGTGTGTTGGTGAGATGGGTTCCTGTCACTTGAAGGTATCTGAACTGTTTGAAGGGTGTGTCTAACCTGATCATGCCACTGAGCTGTCTTACAAGGTTCCAGCTGACTTCTGCAGCCATTTTCCGCATCAATGGCCTTATTTCAACATCGGCTGATAATCTTGCGTTCTTATTAACTGATCCAGACATTTCAATTCCACTTTCAAAATGTTGCATCTCCGGGAAGGAAGAGTCTATACTTACTCTGAACTTTCTCAAATTGTCCATGTGGAGATGAGTTTCTCCTGTAATGTACATACCAAGGCCATACTCTAGTGTCACTTTGGATACCCACTCTTTACCACGTTTTTTGTTCTTATATTTAAAAACGATATTTTCTGCCCCCTTAAATGGTGTCGTGATCCTAACACTGGAATCAACACTGTAAATGGTAGGCTGCAAATCAAGGTATACATCCATTGATATCTTCTTCGCTCTTGCCCACTGGAATTCTGCATGTCCTCTCTTTGGGTTACTCTCATATTCATTTACATTCACTTTACCCATGATATCATTTGCTAGCATGGACCCAGTTAGGCTGACATCCAACTCAGCAAGACCATGATTTCTTCTGTAATTAGAGTCAAGTAAGACTAAAGTTTGTCTGTTGTTCTTAGCTAATGTATTCAGCTTGAGGTAACCTGTTCCTTGTTCATAAGCGAGGTTCACATCTACATCATTAACTGGTGCCCAAGGTGTCTGGATAATTACTTCACTGTTAACCTTCGTGTTGACTATTTTTTCATAGCCAGCACTGACATCAACAAGAATCTTCTGTCCTTTGCCCCAATCAGTGTTGAAGGTGGTACTTAAGGCATAAGGGCGGTGTTCATGATGAAGGGTAGTAATTATTTTGTTATTTGGAGATATGAGGATAAGGTTACCATTACCATTGAAATTTATCCTAGTATTTATAGCATTCATATCAAATTCTGCTTTGTACATGTCCCCATTGTCATTATATTTCACTTTGCTTTTACTGTATGTATGTCCATCATCACTGTGTTCAAAGCTGACAGATACACTTCTATATGCACGTAGACTGGATTTAAAAACAAACCCTGCCTGGATGTCTCTTTTGAGAGTTGTGACTGCATATTCAGCAGAAAACTTCATGTCAGCATTGTGTGGCCCAACTACATACTTCACTTGAGACAGCAGTGTATTATCAAACTTATTGATGACATTAATTTCAATGGCTTCAAATCTCTGGAATGGTGTTGTTGCAGCAAAGCTGAGACCCAGATTTGTTACTTTGAAAGGCTTGTCCATACTTGCAGTGGCTGATATCTGTTTATGTCCATATCCTGCAGAGCCTTTAACGCTGACTTCCTTCCTGTCATTGGAATAGTCAAAGTCTCCAGCAACCCTTGCATAATTTTCAATAGGAGTCCTCACTTCAAAGCTTCCTCCTAGTCTCCTGTTGGCCCCACCTTTGTTGTGGAATAAAACTGATCCAGAATATCTAGATTTTGCAGCAGTCTCATCATTTAATTCAGCGTCAAATTCTGCTTTATATTTATCACCATGTTTTCCACCATTCGCTTTGACTGTAACCTGTTTCTTGAGGTAATCTACCACCAGCTTCCATTTACCGTTCTTCTGTTTTGTATTGACAACAGACTCTCCTGTTAACCCATAGGCATCACCTTTTCTGCTTACCTTTCCTGAGAGTTTAAGATTTTTCCAGTTGAGATTAGCAGATCCAACAAAACGTACAGGCTCATAGCCATGTATAACGGCTTCACTTGATAACTCAACGCTGTTTGATGTGGGTCTCTCAAAATTAGTCACGAGAGTAGACTTTTGTCCCTTCTGCAGATTCAGATTGGTGATGTGCAAGTATTTGGTACGGCTTTTCTGTGTTAGGTTACTGACAAATGCTATGTCACGTCCAGGGTAGGCTAGGGTAAAAGAACCCTCTAAGTTGATCATTTTGTTGCGAGTGCGGTCCCGAAGTTTGAAGGCTGTTTCCAAGTTCTGTTTCTTACCATAGGACACGGACAGGGAGGAGGCCAGGTTCTTCTTATCATGGCTGTGGTGACCTTTAGCATGGAAGTTCACATCCTGTAAATAGAAATTGTAGTTCAAGGAACTGAAGTTGTCATCTATTTCTAAAACTCATATAAAATGTTTTGAAGTGTACATACTTTGGGAGGGTAGAAGACTTTGACAACATAGTCAATAGATGCAGTGGCACCAGAGGAGGCAACCTTGTGGTCCACTGAGGCCAGGAGGTGTAACTCCTTCCTCTTGTCCTTTACGTCACGTACGTTGGCCCCATGCCGGAACTTCATCTCAAGCTCGTTGTGGCGAGAATTGCTGTTGACACCCACATCCAAGAGCATGTTGTAATCCCTGTTCTGTTTCACATCAAAGTTCCTGAAAAATAAGTGATCCGATTGACTTTCGTGTATTTAACATCATACAAATCACAACTTATTACCATAAAATTATTTTGTTGATAACAGGTTCGTCAACTGTCATGGTCATATTCAATATCTCAATTACATGAAACCTACGGTAGTGAGAATAGGGAAATCACAAAGAAATCAACTTCCAAAACCAAAGACACTCGAAGCTATATAACCCTAAAAACAAGCTCTATATGTTAACTCGTAAGAGTGATCGGTAAGCTGATTAACATATGAAGATGACTGCCCATGTCCAATATAAGTGAAGAGACATGCTTGTACCCATTAATCTTGTACTTCTTTGTCGTCTTCGTGCTTCTGTCAATAAACTTGCTGCTGAAAGTAACTCTTTCTTTCTTGATTTTAGGTAGATTGTAGTCAAGGACGAACTGACTGGACACGGTGCCTTTCCCCCTCTTCTCCAAGTTGGAGCTCAGCTTGAGAGTAATGAAGTCTGAGGTGAGGAGGGCACTGCCTTTATACTTGTGCCTCTTCCTCTTGATGTTCTCAGATCGGACCAAGTCAGCTGAATAGGAGGATTCATAACCTTATTATGATGCCGATTATAGTGTTCATGGGCAAACAACATTCCAAAAGTTAACCATTACTGCCAATGTCAGATAATAAGCATGACAAATGGAACCTTTTGCATCATTTGACCTCCTCCATTACTGACCAATGTTTTGCCAGGTATAACTGTATTGGCATTCATAACACCTATCATACTTACCTAAACAGAGTAGATTATAGCAACAGTTGTCTTATCAATCATTAATCTTACATTATTTAGAAACATGCCTCTGGTTCACTTACCCTTGAATTTGAATGGATTCTCGAGGATTGGCTTCATCTGAACCACTGTCTCCACCTTATAGGACTTTTTAGTTTTGTACTCGGCAGATCCTTTCAGGTTGATAATCTCTCTCTTCGGCATACTGATGACGAGGGTGGGCACGATGTGTGTGGTGGACTTTCCGCTGCTTGCTATCAAAGCTCGTGCAAGGAAATTGTACTCATCCTTCTTGTAGGTGTATGAGCCCCTCACGCTCTTCTCGGCCTTGGTGTTGACATAGCCAGCTAGCGGGAAACAGAGAGCAGGGGACTATACGGGGACAGCAACACATGTTTTATAGTCATGAGATCTGCCATACTAATGAGTTGACTTGGGTCTACAGGATGTCCAGCAAACACTTTAACCGTGGTGCGATGTCTTGAACAGCTTCTCTGTAAAATGGCTTGCAAGAAAGGATGAACAGGAGTTTTGCCTTTCGGGTTAAGATTGCTAATTTGGAATGCTAAGCATGCATTGAAATAAAGTGAGTAAAATAAAAACAATTGTGAACAAAATAGCATCATGATATAAACATAATCTGTTATAGAAGTACATAGGAAAAAGTGAAAACTCGTTTGGTCATGTGGTGTTACCACACATTTTTTCAACAATGTACCAGGTATAGAAGATCAGGCTATTTTGACTAAATTAAAAACCAAAGGGTTTTAACTTTCCCTCCAAACGTTGCCACTATCCATTACCTTCAAAAGTAACTTTTCAGCCTTATATGATATGCAAGCGATCAAATCTCATTTCCAGTAAGCATATGATGGTGAGAAAGTAGGTCAAAAGCAATTTAGTGGATTTGTTTTGCATGGCAATGAAGCAATTTGTTCATTAAGATACAGCTAGCTACGTTTATAGTGATGGGCAAGATCATGGTGCCTATGGTTACAGACAAGGGGTACTGTGTACCACAACAGTATGAAAACAATGCTTCTTGACTGGAACAACATGGCATTATAATATATAACTATTCCTAAATCTGTTGCACACCAGGGCGGACTGATATCTGTTGAGCCTCACATAAAAAGAAGTGACCCTAAAGACATTAAAATGATGTATTTTTGAACCTAATCCTTTAACCATTTCTGTTGTTGCTGATGTGACAACCCTCCAGGACAAAGGTCGCCTCTGAAGGCTCTCTCTCTCTCTCTCTCTCTCTCTCCCTCAAGCTTAACCTCACGCTGCCCACCCCTTTACGTCGGCAGAGGAAGGGTCATCCTTCACTAATGTTGTACTCATCTCTTCATGGATTTCTTTTTGCGATATGCCATTTTTCTGCATACACGAGATCACTGCCTATGTTCCAAAAGTTTGTCCATTTTCCCTTCCTTATTTGACTGACGTGTCACAGCAAAACGGTTTGCTCAATTGATTTATGCTTTAGTGGATTTACGTCTATGACACACAAGTCATCAGTAGATGACAAATCCACCCCCCGGTCCCCCCAAATTCGAAAAAGAACAAATCATCTGACTGTTGATCATAAATCCAACTTGATGAAAGAATTTCTATCTTATCTGTCTGTCCGTATACAACTGCAATTATTGAGGTATCAAAACATTACCATGGAATATGGATTTGGAACTTTGTATCTCTATGTAAGGTACACACCACTATCAACGGAATCACATTAAAAGGCACCAGTTGACAATCTGGTCTTTGTGTCAATCTCATTAAAATTAGATCTAACTTCTCGCTGCTGCAAAACAAAGCTTTGTTTAGTGATAGCCAGAACTCAGATCTGATTTTAATGAGATTGGTCTTTGTGTGTGCATGGTCCTGACAAACACTACACTATGAACAGTGTCAAAGTCAATCTTGTTGCCATGGAAGTGGAAATATATAAACTCTAAACACCCCCAAGTAGCAAAAGGCTCCATTTGACAAACTGTTCTTTGTGTGTGCAAAGTGTCATGAAAGAGTACCTATATTGGTTTCAGAGATATGGTCCGGACAAACACACCACGATGAACTATGAGTCCAAGTTAAACTTGTTGCCATTTTTCTAAAATTCCTAAATAGCAAAACTCTGCTCCAGGAACGACACCTACCTCCGTTTCAGCTAAGTCTAACTTGTTTCCATGGAAACAGGGAAAAGTCGAATGTTGAAAATTTCCTTAATAGCAACAGGCACCACTTCAGCCCTTGGTTAATACATGTACCAGGTTTGGATGAAAAGTCTTTCACAGTTTTCATGTTGTGCTACTGAAACGACACATACCCCTCCCTTTTGAGACTAAGTCCAAAATGTTTCCATGGAAATCAAGACAACTAAAATGCCCCAAATCCGCAAATAGCAAAAGGCAAAAAGTTTTTCTGAAAGATATTGAATGGTTATTAAGTTGTGCAGCGGAAACAAAATGATTACCGGTCGGCGAACGGACGGACGGACAGACGGCATCTTACGCAATTCCTTCTATATGAAGCTCAGAACATATCAGTCAACCATCACATATTGGACTACAGCTGAATTATTACCTTTAATATTGACCGGGTCTGCCGTGACGATGTTGGAGGTGAGGTCGATGTCGATCTTCTGAACGCCATCCCTGGTGATGGAGCCGGTGAGAATTTGCTGTGTGTTGGTCAGCCTCCGCAAATCCATCGTGGGCAGGTACGTCACCTCACTTCCCTTCTTGCTGATCCTGACCTGGGTGTCCAGGCCGTACTTGTCCTTCTGGTCAAGGAGGAGGGTCCCCTTCAGCTGTTTAATATTGACGCTGTCCACCAGAGACGCTACAACACCACACGGAACATCACAACATACACCATTTGACGCCACAAAGGGTGGTATGGAAGCGTATTAGTGCCACAGTTTTTTATCATCTAGGGATACTTACATCTACGTAGATGATACCAGTATCGACGTAGATGATACTTACATCTACGTAGATGATACCAGTATCGACGTTGATGATACTTACATCTACGTAGATGATACCAGTATCGACGTAGATGATACTTACATCTACGTAGATGATACCAGTATCGACGTAGATGATACTTACATCTACGTAGATGATATCAGTATCGACGTAGATGATACTTACATCTACGCTCGGGAGCATGCTGGTTGTTTATTTTCATTTGACCTTTTCCGTATATTTACACATACTGAGGTCATTTCAACTTGTCAAACTATCAGGGCTAAAATCAATCTCATAAAAATCAGATCTCAGTTTAGCTGTAGCGAGAACTAAGATCTGATTTTAATGAGATTGCGCTGAAATAAAAACACAAACTGCACAATTGTACCCTCAGTGTTTTATAGGATGATGACGAGTTTTGGTTTGATATAGGTTTATAGTTTGAATGATTCTCACCCCTTCATATTCACGTTTTACCTCTTAACCTAATTTCTGTCATGGGGAAATCATGAGGATCAACATATTCCTCCGGCTTTAACCATGTTGAATATTGACCTATAGATGTTTATTTGTTTGAAGTTTGGAGAACATTTTGTGCTCGCCTCTCTTTATTACGGTTGTACGTGGCGTGTGTCATTCTCCAGTAACTTCGACACATTGAAATGATTTACTTTACGCAATGTTTAGATCGTACCTCAATAAAGAAATGTCAAGGTAGAAAGTCAAACAAATCGGTCATTATGAACTAAGCCAGTGGTTTTATATAACTGACCCGGAACTAGTGTCAATTATACAAACTAATTATGTGGCACGAATACGTTTCCATAGGGTGGCATGGAAATTCTGTGAAGAATTCGTTCACTAAAAGGTATCATCAGTTCGAATCCTAAATCCCCCCGAATAGATGATCCTTGGTCAATCAGCACCTTGTTTGAGGTCGTGGGTCTCGCCACATCATTGTGGGTTTTCAACCAATTTTAAGCTGTCCCACCCTAACAAAATTGAAATAATCAGAGCAGTGTGAAGCCAAACTCGGTGAATGCATGAGGCAAAGCAAGTCAAAGTCAATATGGTACCTTACATTTAAATGAAGCTTCTTTCCAAGGGGAGACAAGTGCGATTTCCATTGCTTTATCTTTGTAGCTGACCGCTACATCCAGAGACATGGCTCGTTTTACACTGGACCCAGGAGTATCAAAACCTAGCTGACCAAACACCTTGTCCCGTGTCTAAAATAGAAATAAGTTTTGTGTAGGAATGGATAATTGAAAACTAGCAATGCAAAGCCCTAATTAATACAATTTAGGGTTGTAATAAGTGTTGAGTTATTTCATACATTACGAGCGCTTTGTTCAATACCTTGGTCCTTGTTTCAAATCTCATTGATGCCAATTTGAATATGTAAACCCTATTTCATTAAATAAATATCCAATTATCATTTAAAAATATTACACCACGTGTTGCAGAGAAGGACTAAAAAATGCAGTGATATTAGACGAAAACCCAGATGACTCGTTAAATATTTACTGTAAACATGATATTGATCTCAGACTTACAGAAATGCTCTTGACGACCATCTTGTATCCAGAATGTGTGTCTTTCTTGGACAGAGTTAAACCGAAACTAACAGGTCCTGTGAATGGGAAGTAGGGCGAGTCGGTGATCATGGAGGCGTTGGGGAAGGAGATGTCCCCACACAGTTCTACTCCGGTGAACTTCGCCAGCCGGTCTCCCGAGCACAGCCTCCTCGTCTTCCTGTTCTCTTGAACCATCTTCTGCTCCTTCTCCACCTTATCGTGCACGATGAAGAAGCTGGACCTGAGGGACACAGTAGGCATCGTGTTAGGGGCTGAGTCAGTCACGGCTAACCAAGGAGCTGGTATAATGTACAGACAGAATTGAAGGTGTTGCAGGGTCACAGCCCGTCGTGTGTATAACAAACGTGAAGATAAACTAACGTGTAGGACACGTGAACTATTCCCAAATTATACATATTGTTGACACTCACCTGCACATGAAACGGGATTGGTCTACATATGTGTGTAATCACTCACTAAATCAAGGGATTAAGGTTCAGTACATCAACATATTAGTTCTTGTTATTATTGTTCCAAATCTACTTCGGAGCTCTGCAAAATAGGTAATCGAATGGAATGTGATATGTAAATAAGATATCCTGGCCCATACTTGACATTGAAGATCTCCATTTTGTCCTGGGGCATGTCTAACTCCAGGTTAAAGATCTGCCCTCTGGACAACTCCACGCGGCCCTTGACGCTGGAACTGGAGTGCACACTGGACACCATCTTCAGGCCTGTCTTCGCCACAAAGGCATCAACTGTCATCGTCCCTGTGATCTCTACAGCACCACTGAAATACAACCACTATGGTTAACACGCCATTGTATATCTGTACAAAATGTATCAGGGAGATACGTTAATCACCTAATCTTCCTAGAGAGTTATTCCAACGGCAACATGACCAGCACATTTGTCATACAGAACCATATTTCTCCATTTCTTAGTTTGGTTAGTTGTGAGACAAAAACTTAATACTCCTAACAACAAGAATTCAGTATGTACTAATGTCCTGAGGAAGTATCACAGATGAGTGGCGTATAATTTGTAATAGGAAAAAGAACAACATCCGTGACATAGGAGATAGATAGTCTAACTGTAGATTAGATTCCTCTTATTTTAATTTGCAGCTTAACGCTTTAGCGCGAGGTTTCAAATGTATAAATAAGAGGTATCTTTTCTACAGTTAGACTGTCTCAAATTCTCAATTCAGTATATCTCCATTCTACCATGACGACAGGGGCGCTTTGAAAACGGCGCTCTCTTTGACGCGAACTTACACATGAGCCGATAGGCCAGATATCTTAGAACGTACCGAAAAGGGGTCACAGGTAGTGACAAACATAAAACAAATTACTCAGTTTCAAGATTAATTAGTTATATTCTTGACTAGTTCAAAACAACGGTTGCAAAATACATAGCTTTTCAAAACGAATTGATGAAATTTCACTTTATAAATATATAATTACTTTCAACGAAACCATATTTGAGCTATTTGGACTCGACCAAGTTATTTCTTGGAAATCCTCGCAACAAGTCATTTCTTGGAAATCAACATGACATCTCCCTTTGTAGGGGTAATAGGTTGTAGAAATTGTGAAAAGAAATGCAGAACAAATTTATTTCTCCAACAATCTTCATTAAATAGCAGGATTTCAGTTGGATTGAAAATATTCCCCAACAGTAATACATTACGAATAACCATCTTCACCCTGAACTACAACCTGGATGAACTTTTCAGTTTCTTGTGGTTGTCTATGGCTGCCAAACTAGTTGTTCACAGTGACAGTGTCATTTGCAAATTACTTGAACCCAGGGGACAATCTGGTCCTGTCGTTATGTTCAACCTGATAACTTACTGGTGGAAATTAGCCTCCTGGCACAACCACTGCCAACATAAACACCCTGAAGTATGGATCAATAACGCTGTTTTTTAGCCGAAGACGAGCCGACCCTGCACCACATGGGATTTTTGCTGATTTTTGTGACCCTGGTTAAAGTGTGTTTTACTTAATTGTAGGTAATATTTGATAAAATGTTGTGACCAAGTGCTGAAATGGAATTAGATACCTGATTTTGATCAATCAGAATCAAGCATTCTTCAGTGTCATGGCGGAGTGTGCGTTTTAGTAACGATTAACCAACTGAGACTATAGTCACAGAATAGCGTCACAGAACAGAAACTATCATTCGGATTTACACCCACCTCGGTTGCATGACGCCCTCTATTAGGAGGCTGGTGGGCTTTGTTGCCAAGTTACGGAGATCAAGCTTGCCCTTGACATTCATGTTGACAGTGGCAGCTCCATGCACGGTGAGGTTGAGGGGAAGCCCTGCACAGGTTGGCACAATGATGCTGCTGTCCAAGAACATCACGCTGTTGGCGAAGGAGTAGTCATGGTCCTTTGACATCTTGATGAGGAAGTCCAGGAAGTTGAACTTGTCCTTGGTGAGAGGCCAGCTGGACGAGTCAAAGTGCATGTACCTCAACTCGTTACCAAAGATTCGCAGGAACACAGCGGCGTGAAGGTCATCTTTCACTTGTGCATACTGTAACAATATTATGTCAACGTGAGTTACCAACAAGTGACACATTATTTTGTGCACATGAAATGAAATCATATGGAAACCGTGTGTTTTACTATTTTACTACATGTAATTTGGACATATTTGATGTATACAGCCAGCTAACCTTCTTTTTCATTCTGTCCATCTTTTCTTTACGAACTGATCTGGAATCTTCATAGCCTGTCTTTTTGCTACCAACGCCAGTCGGGGAATCTGCACCAAAGAAAGATTCCAAAACACTCTCAAGCCCCTCGACACGTCCTCCCATCTCAAACAGGTTGACGGATTGACCAAACAGATCCACTGTCAAGTTCACAGAGGCCGATCGGGGAACGAAGGACTTGGATGAAAATATCAAGTTGCTCTCAACCATTGCACCTGCATTGAACTTCTCCCAGAAAAACGAGCCCTCGTAGTTCCTGGAGAACTTCCTCTTGTCCAGGTCAAACTCTCGCGAGAGTTGCTCGTCCTCCAGTATGTGGCGGATCTGCTGCTTGAGGGGGCTGGATGTTTCCTGCAGGTTCATGAGGTGAGACCACACAAAAGACCCCACTTGGTTGGCCTTCTCCACCTCCAGAGTTGCACGCACCTGTGTCAGGATGGTTTCAACAGGGCACTGCATGGCCACCAAGTAGGCGGCGATCCTCACCTCGGCGTCAGATTCACCGTCCATATACAACTGCATAGCGTTGTTTCTCTGTGGAAATAAAATTATTATTAAAACAAAATCAATCGTTTGTTGAAATCCTTCAAGGACTTATTCAAGCAAGTTTAAAAGCGAGAAGAACATGCTGAATAACTCACATCAGCACCACACGGCAGTCTGCGGAAGGCATCAAGGGCGGCAATTCTGACCTCCATGGGGTTTTTCTCCCTAGTGAAGCACAGTTGCAGAGACAAAGATAACCTATCAGCATTTCCAATGTTGCCAATGGCCCGCAGCGTCAGTAGAATCTGTGCAGAGAAGGTCAATTGCTTATTTTTAATATTTAACCAAACAAACCGGGTTGGATTTTTAATCACATATGTCTGATAAAATCGATTTTGTAGGTTTCTAATCAACAGTATAACCGAAAGCATTAACTGTATTTGAGTAAACATCACAATTAATGTGCGTTGTGTTGCATTGACATACATCTTCTTCGTTCTTGTCCGTCACGACACAGCCTCTGCCAATATCGTTCTCGAGTATGGAGATGATGAGGTCTATGACAGGGACTTTCGTACACTCTGCAGTCTTCACACAGAAGTTGTTCACCATGGCTGCGACAAGGATCTTTGTCCTCTTTGAGTCGGACGTCAGCATGAGCGGCTTCAACAGATACACATATCAGGTATAGTGGGGAGGTACTACTTATTCTTGTATATAATGACTGCAAGGGTGGATGAGGAAGGATTTATGGTTTGATCAGCAACATAGTGGGAACATTTTGTACCATTATGGGGAATCGAACTAGCCATCGCTTTGACCATTAGGCTACCCCACCTCCGCATTTGTGCATGAGAACGACGGATGTGCAGTTTGTGTGTTCGCCGTGTTAGTGTGTACCTGGATCTCAGTGATCATCTCTACTGTGGGGTGTTGTATGAAGGCGAGTGAAGTCAACCACATGTCGGCCTGGTTGCTGTCCACATCCTTCGCCGTCATCAGCTCTCGCATCATCTTGATAGCGTCAACTGAGCCAATCATCGGGATAGCATCAATGAAGAACTTCCTGGAGCGGGAGAAGAGAATTTGTTAATAAAAGTGGATGTCATATCCAAGTTCTATGTTTTGTTTGTTTGTTTGTTTGTTTAACGCCACTCTCAGCAATAGTCCAACTATATGACGGCGGTCTGTAAATAATCTAGTCTGGACTGGACAATCCAGTGATTGATATCATGAGCATCGATCCACGCAACTGGAATTCGATGACATGCATCAACCAAGTCAGCGAATACAAACACCGGATCCGTTAGTCGCCTCTTACGACAAGCATTGTCGCATCTTACAAAAAGAAAGGTTTGCTGAAGACCTATTCTAACCCGGATCTGACGGGTCCCAAGTTACATGTGTTGAGGTTCAGCTACCAGGTCATAAAAACCAGGGGATTATCGAAATTGTTTCGCATTATTTAGGCTTCGCGATAATCATGTGCCGATAATTGACGTGAAATACCAGATAAGGTGTCCATACAATGTGTAATTTGTGTACAGTGACACCCTCGTAGTCCGACCGGTATTGTTCCAGGTACAATCGACCGGATTTACAATTGCAACATTTCCGAATTATGTGTATGCTGCAGTATCGATTTAGTGCCAAAAGTATGTACTACACACTGTTCCGGAGAGTGAGGATTCCGTATCAACTATCGAGGTTCCACTATACAAATAATACTTAGATGCAACATGCATTCACACATGATGTTAATATGAATGTTCACCTTTCAGATACATGTTCACTTGAAACGGTTCTACAGTTCATGTGAATGTCAGCGTTGCCACCTTAAGGAGATGAGTGTGTATGCGTTAAACTGGCGTAGGGGAATTAAAGGGTGACTGGGGTTGACTGACTTTCCTATCCTGGAGTTCTTGCCGCATATTTGTCCTGTTTTTAGCTGTCTGTACAGAGCCTGCAGGGACCGGAAGTTGGAGTTCTTCAGAATGTAGACCAGCTCCGAGAACATCTGGGGGACCTCGGGGCGGATGTCCGTCGCAGTCACGCGGCACAGCTCCTGCATCTTGGTGCTGGCGTCACGGCGGTTCACCTCCTCGTCTCGCAGACCGTACGTGTGTTCAAACGTCAGGGCACTTCTACTGGCGACTAAGCCTGCAATGTCCAACACAATACCAGTTCATTACCTACACTTATTGTTAAACGTGAAGATATGATATTAAGCCAATGTTTGATCAAATTATAATCGAATCATGACCATAGGTCTGGAAAACATTACTGCATAACTGAAACCCAGGACCTCTAAAAATCGGCCTGACTCTGTCTTTCCCCAACAGCGTGGATCGCTGCTCATGCTATCGACCACTGGTTTGTCTGGTCCTGACGACGCTGCTACAGGAAGCCGTGATATAGCTGTAATATTGCTGATTACGATGTGAAGCAACTATCACTGCTCCAGGAAACGCCTACCTTGCTGACTGCGGACATAAGGCTGAGTTCTTCTGAACTCCAGGGTGTGTGATGCCTCGGTCATAGCTCCATTGTTGTCCTTAGAGAAGGGCCGGAAGACGTGCGTCTCGCTGCAGGTAGAGCGCTGTAGGATACCCTCGCTCGTGATGGTCTGGCTGCAATCGTGGGTGCTCTTCAGAAGGGGGAGGGAGTGCACGGCCTGGAAGTAAGTGCAGGAATTGAGGGAATGTACAAACAAGTCTTCTTGAATGAGGAGAGATTACGCCATATAATGGTCCATTACAGGAATATTATTAAGGCCGTTTCTTACGTTTGGCATCTTGTATGGCAGAGAGTGGAAGGACGTCTTGTAGCCGTGCCTGTTTTCGCACCCAAGCAGATCCTTGCTCTTCTTGATGATGGACGTTCTCCGACCTCTCTGTGTGACCCGATAGTCCGTGAAACACTCGCCGGTCACGTCACTCTGCACATAACACAATACCGTGAACACTACATAACATTTGTTTGTTTGTGTGTTGTTTAAGGCCGCTCTCAGCAATATTCCAGCTATATGACGGCGGTCTGTAAATAATCGAGTCTGGACCAGACAATCCAGTAATTCACATCATAAGCATCGATCCACGCAATTGGGATACTACGACATGCATCAACCAGGTCAGCGAGCCTGACCACACGATCCCGTTAGTCGCCTTTTACGACAAGCATGGGTTGCTGAAGACCTATTAATACCATGAACATTCGTAACACAATACCATGAGAACAACATAACACAATACCATGAACAGTACCTTACACAATACCATGAACATTACCTAACACAATAACACTATGTAACACATTTATCATGAACGATGTACGTAACCCAATACCATGAAAACTATGTGACCCAATACCATGAACACTTCGTAACACAATACCATGAACACTTTGTAACACAATAACATGAACATTACGTAACCCAATACCATGAACACTTCGTAACACAATACCATGAACACTTCGTAACACAATACCATGAACACTACGTAACCCAATACCATGAACACTTCGTAACACAATACCATGAACACTACGTAACACAATACCATGAACACTACGTAACACAATACCATGAACACTACGTAACACATTTATCATGAACTTTACGTAACCCAAACCATGAATACTGTGCATTTAAGTGACTTCAATATTTTTTTCGCTTGTGGAGTCATAAATGTAAACACCGATGTGCATACTGTGTAAATTCATGAAATGTCTGAAATTGTTAGTTTCAACCCCAAGAGGAAATGACTGTGGGGTGTGACCATAGCACACCTAGCATCAACCCCCACCCCCCTACAATGTTCACAGTTATCACTGTGTTCGTTCTCCTAGCCCGGGGTGTTCCTACGGCCTTCACCTTCATTCAGACATTGTAAACATCCCAGCTGTCAAGATAATTACAACGTGCAGAATCAGCGGAAACACCTCCTTTGTGTGGAACTGCTCAACACCGCCTAAATGGGCTCCGCAATGTCACACGGAAATTGTCACTTATAACAACGTTTTGAAACAAACAACTACAATGTACATCTTCTCTGCACCGGGGAAGTAGTCTGCTTTGTCCTACAGTGTCAGGGTATGTATGTGATGATGTGACGTGCTTGTTTGTGTTATACATCAGGCACAACAACTGTAGGAAACACCCATGCACACACGTGACGTGACTAGATAAAGTTATATTTCTAACGTTACAATCAGAAAACCACAGCCTGCTGTACAACCTAGAGACTCCCTTGAGAGATGTGTGTCTTGGTGTGACAGGGTGCGTTTCGCTGCAATCACCTCTACTTCTCTATCTAACAACCCAAACCCTCTTCCTCCCGGTCGTAACATGGAGATCTAACAACCCTGACAGTCTCCCTTCCTGTCGTAACATGGAGATCTCACAACCCTGAGAGTATCCCTTCCTGTCGTAACATGGAGATCTCACAACCCTGACAGTCTCCCTTCCTGTCGTAACATGGAGATCTCACAACCCTGAGAGTATCCCTTCCTGTCGTACATGGAGATCTCACAACCCTGACAGTCTCCCTTCCTGTCGTAACATTGAGATCTCACAACCCTGACAGTCTCCCTTCCTGTCGTACATGGAGATCTCACAACCCTGACAGTCTCCCTTCCTGTCGTAACATGGAGATCTCACAACCCTGACAGTCTCCCTTCCTGTCGTAACATGGAGATCTCATAACCCTGACAGTCTCCCTTCCTGTCGTAACATGGAGATCTCACAACCCTGACAGTCTCCCTTCCTGTTGTAACACGGAGATCTCATAACCCTGACAGTCTCCCTTCCTGTCGTAACATGGAGATCTCACAATCCTGACAGTCTCCCTTCCTGTTGTAACACGGAGATCTCACAACCCTGACAGTCTCCCTTCCTGCCGTAACATGGAGATCTCACAACCCCGACAGTCTCCCTTCCTGCTGTAACATGGAGATCTCATAACCCTGACAGTCTCACTTCCTGTCGTAACATGGGGATCTCACAACCCTGACAGTCTCCCTTCCTGTCGTACATGGAGATCTCACAACCCTGACAGTCTCCCTTCCTGTCGTAACATGGAGATCTCATAACCCTGACAGTATCCCTTCCTGTCGTAACATCGAGATCTCATAGCCCTGACAGTCTCCCTTCCTGTCGTTACATGGAGATCTCACAACCCTGACAGTCTCCCTTCCTGTCGTAACATGGAGATCTCATAACCCTGACAGTATCCCTTCCTGTCGTAACATGGAGATCTCACAACCCTGACAGTCTCCCTTCCTGTCGTAACATGGAGATCTCATAGCCCTGACAGTCTCCCTTCCTGTCGTAACATGGAGATCTCACAACCCTGACAGTATCCCTTCCTGTCGTAACATGGAGATCTCATAGCCCTGACAGTCTCCCTTCCTGTCGTAACATGGAGATCTCATAGCCCTGACAGTCTCCCTTCCTGTCGTAACATGGAGATCTCACAACCCTGACGGACTCCCTTCCTGTTGTAACACGGAGATCTCACAACCCTGACAGTCTCCCTTCCTGTCGTAACATGGAGATCTCATAACCCTGACAGTCTCCCTTCCTGTCGTAACATGGAGATCTCACAACCCTGACAGTCTCCCTTCCTGTCGTAACATGGAGATCTCATAACCCTGACAGTATCCCTTCCTGTCGTAACATGGAGATCTCACAACCCTGACAGTCTCCCTTCCTGTCGTAACATGGAGATCTCATAGCCCTGACAGTCTCCCTTCCTGTCGTAACATGGAGATCTCACAACCCTGACAGTCTCCCTTCCTGTCGTAACATGGAGATCTTATAACCCTGACAGTCTCCCTTCCTGTCGTAACATGGAGATCTCATAACCCTGACAGTCTCCCTTCCTGTCGTAACATGGAGATCTCACAACCCTGACAGACTCCCTTCCTGTTGTAACATGGAGATCTCACAACCCTGACAGTCTCCCTTCCTGTCGTAACATGGAGATCTCACAACCCTGACTGTCTCCCTTCCTGTCGTAACATGGAGATCTCATAACCCTGCCTGTCTCCCTTCCTGTCGTAACATGGAGATCTCATAACATTGACAGTCTCCCTTCCTGTCGTAACATGGAGATCTCACAACCCTGACAGTCTCCCTTCTTGTCGTAACATGGAGATCTCATAACCCTGACAGTCTCACTTCCTGTCGTATCATGGGGATCTCACAACCCTGACAGTCTCCCTTCCTGTCGTAACATGGAGATCTCACAACCCTGACAGTATCCCTTCCTGCTGTAACATCGAGATCTCATAGCCCTGACAGTCTCCCTTCCTGTCGTAACACGGAGATCACATAGCCCTGCCTGTCTCCCTTCCTGCCGTAACATGGCGATCACATAGCCCTGGCTGTCTCCCTTCCTGCCGTTACATGGAGATCTCATAACCCTGACAGTCTCCCTTCCTGTCGTAACATGGAGATCTCACAACCCTGACAGTCTCCCTTCCTGTCGTACATGGATATCTCATAACCCTGACAGTCTCCCTTCCTGTCGTAACATGGGGATCTCATAACCCTGACAGTATCCCTTCCTGTCGTAACACGGAGATCTCACAACCCTGACAGTCTCCCTCCCTGCCGTAACATGGAGATCTCACAACCCCGACAGTCTCCCTTCCTGCCGTAACATGGAGATATCATAGCCCTGCCTGTCTCCCTTCCTGTCGTAAAATGGAAATCTCACAACCCTGACAGTCTCCCTTCCTGTCGTAACATGGAGATCTCACAATCCTGACAGTCTCCATTCCTGTCGTAACATGGAGATCTCATAACCCTGACAGTCTCCCTTCCTGTCGTAACATGGAGATCTCATAGCCCCGACAGTCTCCCTTCCTGTCGTAACATGGAGATCTCACAACCCTGACAGTCTCCCTTCCTGTCGTAACATGGAGATCTCACAACCCTGACAGTCTCCCTTCCTGTCGTAACATGGAGATCTCATAGCCCTGACAGTCTCCCTTCCTGTCGTAACATGGAGATTTCACAACCCTGACAGTCTCCCTTCCTGCCGTAACATGGAGATCTCATAACCCTGACAGTCTCCCTTCCTGTTTTAGCCCTGGCAGTCTCCCTTCCTGCTGCAACATGGAGATCTCACAATCCTGACAGTCTCCCTTCCTGCTGTAACATGGAGATCTCACAATACTGGCAGTCTCCCTTCCTGTCGTAACATGGAGATCTCACAACCCTGACAGTCTCCCTTCCTGTAGTAACATGGAGATCTCATAACCCAGACAGTCTCCCTTCCAGCCGTAACATGGAGATCTCATAACCCTAACAGTCTCCCTTCCTGCCGTAACATGGAGATCTCATAACCCTGACAGTTTTCTTTCCTGCCGTAACATGGAGATCTCATAACCCTGACAGTCTCCCTCCCTGCCGTAAGATAAAGATCTCACAACCCTGACAGTCTCCCTTCCTGCCGTAGCCCTGGCAGTCTCCCTTCCTGCTGTAACATGGAGATCTCACAATCCTGACAGTCTCCCTTCCTGCTAAAACATGGAGATCTCACAATCCTGACAGTCTTCCTTCCTGCCGTAGTCCTGGCAGTCTCCCTTCCTGTCGTAACATGGAGATCTCACAATCCTGACAGTCTCCTTTCCTGCTGTAACATGGAGATCTCACAGCCCTGACAGTCTCCCTCCCTGACGTAACACCGAGATCTCACAATCCTGACAGTCTCCCTCCCTGCCATAAGATGAAGATCTCACAACCCTGACAGTCTCCCTTCATGCCGTAGCCCTGGCAGTCTCCCTTCCTGCTGTAACATGGAGATCTCACAATCCTGACAGTCTCCCTTCCTGCTGTAACATGGAGATCTCACAATCCTGACAGTCTTCCTTCCTGCCGTAGTCCTGGCAGTCTCCCTTCCTGTCGTAACACGGAGATCTCACAATCCTGACAGTCTCCTTTCCTGCTGTAACATGGAGATCTCACAACCCTGACAGTCTCCCTCCCTGACGTAACATGGAGATCTCACAATCCTGACAGTCTCCCTCCCTGCCGTAAGATGAAGATCTCACAACCCTGACAGTCTCCCTCCCTGACGTAACATGGAGATCTCACAACCCTGGCAGTTCCCATACTCTATCCACCTTTTCAATTAGACATTAACACGGCATTATTATTTGATTGGTATGTCCTTTTTCTCCGGCGTGCCCTACCCTTGCTACGTATTGCTGCGATGTCCAACATGCTGATGTTTCCCCTCTGGTCGTTCTCGGCCTTCTCTCAGCATATACTCACCTCCTTCACTCTCTGATCTCTCTCAAGATCTGCCATAGAGTTCTGGAAAGCTGACAACATGGCTCTCTTGACGTTAAGGGACCACGCGGAGTCGTCATCTTCAGGGCAAATCTGTTCCACTACGCCATCTTGGAAGGAGAACCGCAGTGGGTTGGCCTCCAGGGCCCGCCGAAAGTCCCTCGAGTTATCTCCCGATGTCATTGGCCGAGCCAGCACTTGCACGCCAGACAGCTGTGGGGGTAGATAGGAGGCAGAATAAAACACACAATTAAACGATGACTGACGACATACACAATGTCTTGAACGACCTAATATTAACTGGTTATAACGATATCATACAGTACGACGTAAGAAAAGGTAATGTTTCCTTTGTTATGAGACAAAACCTTTGTGTTTGTTTGTTAGTTGTTTAACGTCGCTCTCAGCATTATTCCAACTATACGACGCCGATCTGTATATAATCGAGACAATCCAGTGATTGGCATGATCATGAGCATCATGGGCTACAATGACATGCATCATCCAAGTCAGCGAGCCTGACCACCCGATCCCGTTAGTTGCCTCTTACAAGCGCAGTGTCTCTTGGGTTTAAAACATGTTCCTTTAGGTGATCCTAATATCCATTGACATTTCTTACCGTCAGTATCATCTCACACGATGTCAAAGCTTCAATTGTGACGTCAGCTTTGATTCCAAGTCCGGCGTGGTCCTCGGCTGCTCCCGACATCGTCGTTCGCGTATTAGCATTGTACGTGTACTCGTACGTTGACCCCGCGGCGTACTTGAACTTGGTGGCGTCTGGGAAAAATAGTCATGTGTGTGTACAAAGAAGGCATGGGACCTTTACCATTCATTGGCTCCAGTGTATTTCTTCCACTCCAAGGACGTAGATCTGTATAAACATTTCTACAATTAGACTGATGTGTAACCCCCTCAGAAAGGTAGTTATCTGACAATAGCGACGAAATAGCTGGCACCTTGTTGAATATTGCACACACGGAAATGTCGTTGGCTACGACATACAATCCACGGTGTCCATGTAGGACATTAACCCTTCCGAGTTCGGACACCTAGAGCTTGGGGTACGGAGGATGACAGTGACATTAACGATCTGAGGTTCTTACGAGGCACAAATATTATGGCCAGCCACAAAATCATTTCCACACGTAGAGTTACCTTTCAAAAATTGCACTTTCGTTATTTTATCCCAAATGTCAAAACACTTCACTTCAGTCTAGATTGTCATTGTTTGCTTGGTGCTAACTGCATTATGAATTTGCCTTTCATGTAGGTAATTTCTTATCCCCAGTGTAACGCCCAACCTCCTCCGTGTCGGCTTGGTGGTGTGATTAGGTGCGAAGAACAAGAGAATAAATATGATTGACCCGAATAGTGACCAGTAGCGCGTACGACCGCTTCTATGTAAGCAACAGGCACACACTGTCCGCTGTCGAGCAGGGAATCGGTTCCATATACAGCGGGATTGCCTAGCTAACGCCATCATGCCTGGCCCACCTGATGTGTTTCTGTGGCACAATCTTGCATTCACTGAACACGCATAGGAAATACTTTAATGTTATTATCAGATACGGACGCAATATTTAGCATGTCAGTACTTATGATGTCCTTTTAAAACAATTATTTGGTCCTCGGCGAAAATGTGCTTCCTTGTCAACTTTTACCACTGCACGTCTACCGAGGTGATAGGAGAGGGGAATAACGAAACAGCAAAAACACCCACATAACGTTTACTAAAAAGATGAGAATAAAATTCATCAAGTCTGTTTGTTCACACACAACAAGGACACTTTCTCTTTGTGTTTGAATGCAATACGAAGCTTGGACAGGTCGCTCCTCCCCAACAGCTGACCTGAGATAGTGACCGTCATTGAAACAAGCCAGATCTTATCAACTACTGAACCAACAAAATCATCATCATCACCATCACCATCACCATCACCATCATCCAAGGTGTGGGCTGACTGAAGGTGGTGACAAAGGTTGCTAATCATACCTCACTGAAGATAACAGTTCGTGTGTCACTAACTGCCCCAATGGTTCATGTTCACACCTCAGATAACGTCCAGGGCATATCCGCAGAGACCAACTGACCACGTACCGCCATCTTGCAACTCGGCCTCATAGGGGACAACACGGAGAGGGCGGACTCGGCACAGTAAACCAGCGTTAGCCGGACTCCAATAACTTGACTACTTCATAAACGTCAGGAAATAACTTAACATGATGCAACCATGCCCAAATAAAGTTATTTAATTTTTCCCTTAGGTATTGGATAAGCCGACAGGAATGCATCAATATTATCTAACTGCCATCTGCTCGTGCTTTAGAGTTGTGTTCTTAGACAACTCGAACCGGTTGATTAGTGTTATTTGGGTTATCATTGTTTGATAGCATCCTAAGTGGCCTATACTTCTAGTTGACCAACCGTCAGGTGACAGATATTCCAGGACACAGTTAGTGATATAATAGGGCACAGTTATCACAGATTGGTTAATGAAAGAGTCGCCATCGAGGCCCCTGACATCAGCTATCTGGCAAGCACTGAAGGTCACGTGGACGGCTGAAAGTAGATATCAGCCCATCGGTGATCACATTCAGACAGTTAACTGAAGCTTTGAAGGAGCCTTTGATATGATATCGATGCTGACACAACCCACAACGGGGCTTTCTTGTAATCCAAAATACTGGTTGGGTAGAATCTCCTCAGCATAATGTAGCAGTGCTGGAATCAACCCACGTACATCTTTCCGAGGCAAGTGAGTTAACTGACTTTAAAAGTCCAGTTTCCACCCTTGCCGAACTAGGCTGGAATTACTGGGCTCGATCGTAGCGCGACCAGTGGCTATTACCAGTTATGTCCCTTCTAAGCCTCCCCTATGGACAAATCAGATTCCACCTCTCGTATCACTTGCGTTTGCTTCACACAAACTGGTGGCGCCCAGTCAGGACGATCTGATCGATAATCAAGATCTATATTGTGATAAAACGGGTCTTACATCGCGAAATGCATCAAATCTCGTGAGCACCTTGATTAAAAAGATTTGGAAAATATCTGCTGACAAGTTGGCGGTGCACATGTTTTGCAAATCCTGCAATCGACCGAAATCTGCACGACAGTTTAAGAACCGGATTTCGATTTCGGTGCGCTATTTTGATTGGACTATGCATAGACTCGTTTGTCCAGCCAAAATGTTAACTCCATAATACCAGCCTAGTTCGGCAAGGGTGGAAACTGGTCTTTTATAGTCAGTTAACTCTCTTGCCTCGGGAAGTGGAAACTGGACTTTTATAGTCAGTTAACTCTCTTGCCTCGGGAAGATGCCCACGTATGGCACCCTTACATTGTCGCCTCTTTGAGCATGTGGACAAGGCGTCATAGCTCGCACCGGAAGGTCTGTGGTTCGAATCCCATCACAGAACTCATTGTGACATTGTATGACCGCTAAAGTTATATCAATGGCAAAGATTATAATCTTTTGACCTCACACTATCATTCAAGATATTAATCAGGCCACATCATGCTGCAGGCGTGATAGCTCACCATATCCGTATCATTGATACAAGGTGCGCAGCTACCGATAAACGATCTCCATCTAATCACCTTCTCGCAATGTAGCACTAATAACAACTAACATTTGTCTCGTAATTAGTTCTTAAACATTGTTTTAGGAGTTGAAACACCGTGCCTATTTAATAGCTTGTGTCCGGTCTTATTGTAAAAACAGCATGGCGTAGAAATGGTGGGCTCAAAACAGTGCCAGATACACGATGAGTTGGTCGTGCGCGGTCAGGAGATTCTGGTCAGAAAGAATGATTTCGTTGTCGGCACCGTGTATGTCGATGCCAAGCTGATACCAGAGACCATATAATATTATATTATATTATATGGTCTCTGCTGATACATTCCGATAATCGCTAGCATGCCCCATGGACAGTACCTTGTAAACACACTTCATGGAGGTGGAATCGGCCATATTTCTATGCACCGCCCATTAACCATCAACTGGCGGCAGATACAGACATCGCTAGATCTTGACAAGATTCCACGTGATAACAGCTGACCCACACATGAACTTAGGGAGGGGTGGGGGAGGGAAGGGCGATGGCAAGGGACGTGTGGCCAACGAGAGGGTTCTGGCCAACTGTTCGCCTTGAACTAGATCTGACATGTGGGATGAGGATGATTTCGGTCCTCACGTTCATGGGCCACTAGACTTTGGACCTGGAACTATGGTACAGTTTCCGCAGTACGAAAACGAAATTAGAATAAAAATAAAATATATGTTGTTGGTTGTTGGAAAGAGATGAAGTTCCCAAATCATCACAGGATATACACAGATAAAGGAGGTGGAACGGGGAATCGTAGGGGGCAGCGAACAGCACTACCCTTGTTGGTGTAGGGAGTAAGCTAATACTCTATCAGAACCACCAGTTCGGCGATACAGGGCAGGCATGGCAGGGAAAGGGTTATGTTTTCGTCAAAATCTGAAACCTAAAACCAGGAACTTCAAGGAATTAACACTTTGAGTGCCACATGTGTCAGAAGATAAATACATTTATACACCCCGGGTATCAAGGTGGCACCCAGGGGTAGCCTATTTCCTCCACACCAGGGAGCTCTCTGTTGGCGTGTATTGTGTCGGGACTACATTAGCATCACGTTGGGTAAATCTGTTACAGTTGACGGACAAAGGGTTAATGAGATCAGCTGATGAAGGATGTAAACACACTCACCATTGCACTGACTTGCACATGACGTCGGGTCCCTCGCATCTCGCTGGATGATTGGACCTGAAACAGAGACACGTACAACTTGGTTGGTGGAGATCAATCACACACACAGCAAAAACAACGCCAAATGTCCCACTGTTGTTGACTTCTTTAGGTGGGTTTGGGTGTTTATGCGTTGATTGTAAGGGAGATAGAGATGGTTGCTGTTGACCAAACGTCATATGTATTGGAACGATGTCGGCAACTTTGTTGCTGCAAACAATGCCAGTTAATATAAAGAACATGATCACCATATGATATATTCAATATAATAACGCACCAGGCAGAAAGTTTCCAACTAGTTTTTGAGGCACATAGTCGGTTCTTTGAGTGTCATTGTAATTTAAATTTCACATTTCACTTTCCTGCGTGGATTCATGGTTAATTGTTAGTTGAGAAAGCTACCCCAGGGAGAGCTGATAACAGTGACAGTGTATATACCACTGTTTAGAGCAGTTGGTCTTGAACGCGGTCCTTTGTTGGCTAATCGTGTGAATTCGTAGCTATTTACATAAAGATTTGTGATATGCCTGGGTCCGTCTAGCAAAGCAATATGTAATTCAACCAGCGTTTTACAGAGAGTGTAGGACTGGAGGCGTTGTCCTACAAACTCATATGGCACCCATACCATATCCTGCCGCTTGGAAGAAAACCTGGGCCGAGTCAAGGCTTGCTTGTCTGAATATACCACCCATTACATGTGTAGATCAACTCATGAAATATTATTTATGAATAAAAACTATTCCATAAATGTCTAATTGATATATTTATATCACAAATTATTTCTAAAGAACTGCAGATTTTTTAAATTAAATGTTAATTGTTAAATATATACGATATGAGGTACTTACCAGCTAGTGCTCCTGTCGCGAAGGCTACAAGCAGGATCAGCTTGGGCTCCATCGCGCGCATGTGATTGTGACCTGCGTGATAACAGTCGGGCTTTTATATCACCAATGATTACAATTAAGTCCAAAGTCAAACTTTTCTCCAAGCTGTTTGCATCCTGACGGAGTGATGTTGCTGATGTTGCTCAGTGCGAGGCAATACCTCTACTGGCTTATAGTGCGCAGATCACTCGCACTTGGCAGCAACACAGAGGTCAAGGGTGAAGGGGGAGGGGTCAGTCGGGGGGGGGGGGGGGGGAAGAGATTTAGGTGATGGGGAGTCAGCACTCTTTCTGTCAAAACATTCACATATGTGTATTGCCTAACATTATGTCACTTCATGACCCTTCACTCAGTGTCATAGCAAATGGTTCAGATTTAGATATTCCTACATACCAAAATGTTGACAATGTTGACGAATTGAACATAAATGTATAATAATTAAGATTTTGTATACATATATTCCATTGCATACCATATATAATCTCACAGAAACTGAAAACGGAACATTTATTTTACAGAAATGTTTGGCTGGTCTATTCTGTGGATGCCATTGTCATGTGACATCGTAGTTAAATGTTTGTGTTGGGTTAAATGTTTGTCGTATCACAGAGAGGGACAACCAAATGGTCATTATCTAATTCTGGTTACTCTGGTTACTAGAAACAATTCACCAAAAAACTGTTTTGTCTATTGTATATGTAATTGTTGTTTGGTAGTGTTTGTGGGGTAGGAACTTGTGTCGTGTGAGATATCACTTGTGTATTGACTCGTGTCATGAAGTACATATGATGTATGAACTATAAGTAGCAGAGATAACAAGGATGTATATCCATTCATTTGAAATCAGGAAATATCCTTTCAATACTATTAAATTCTCCTTTCTACACTTGCCAGAAAAGATGGGTCATATGCCATTTAAAGTCACACTGACAAACGTTTATCACACGTAAGATTTGTAACTGAATCTTAACTAAAGATTTCCTAGGAAATAATGGTTTGAATCGAGCTAACGCTACAAAGGTATATTTAACATCATCGTTAAAAATGAAAGACAGTCTTACAGGAACACTCAAACAGAATAGACACTCACACACGTGTGTTGTATACTGATTCTCCGGACCAACGCCCTATTACACCCGTGTGTTGTATACTGATTCTCCGGACCAACGCCTACTCACACACGTGTGTTGTATACTGATTCTCCGGACCAACGCCCTATTACACCCGTGTGTTGTATACTGATTCTCCGGACCAACGCCTACTCACACACGTGTGTTGTATACTGATTCTCCGGACCAACGCCCTATTACACCCGTGTGTTGTATACTGATTCTCCGGACCAACGCCTACTCACACCCGTGTGTTGTATACTGATTCTCCGGACCAACGCCCTATTACACCCGTGTGTTGTATACTGATTCTCCGGACCAACGCCTACTCACACCCGTGTGTTGTATACTGATGCTCCGGACCAACGCCCACTCACACCCGTGTGTTGTATACTGATTCTCTGGACCAACCCCCACTCACGCCCGTGTGTTGATCACTGATTCTCTGGACTAACACCCACTCACACCCGTGTGTTGTATACTGATTCTCTGGACTAACGCCCACTCACGCCCGTGTGTTGTATACTGATTCTCCGGACCAACGCCTACTCACGTCCGTGTGTTGTATACTGATTCTCTGGACTAACACCCACTCACGCCCGTGTGTTAATCACTGATTCCCTGGATCAACAGCCACTCACATCACCTGTGAAGGTTAGATTTTATTTTCAGCAACCCGTGCTTGTCCCAGGAGGCGACCAGCAAGATCGGTTGTTAGGCTCAGTTATGCATGTCATCGCATCTCAATTGCGTAGATCAATGCTCATGATATCAATCACTGAATTGTCCAGATTCGATTAGACACAGACCGCCGTCATATAGCTGGAATAGTGCTGAGTGCGGCGTTAAACAACAAACAAACAAACAAACAAACCAAGGGAAGACTTTCGGATGCTGGCGAATGTTTCATAAAAAACAATAAGCTGTAGGGTATGTGAGAGAGACACTCATCTATGTATAGTGGTACTTCAGCGTCCTTACGCCCCTCTCCACTCCTCCCCCCTCTTGAGCTGTGATGACACCACCCTCTCCTTGTAGCGAGATTGGACTTTGCCCGCGTCCTGTGTCGGCCAACGGCCGATAATATGGAACAATTCACTTCTTATCTTACTAGATCACAAAGTTAATACACACTATGAACAATACCAACATAGATTCCGCGTGTCTGGTGACACGCAGCATTGTTTTCTAGCGAGGTAGAGTAAACAACTTAATTAACCATCTGGTCCGTTACACCAGGTGCCATGGTATAGGTCTCCTGTACTGGGCATCACCCGTCCAACAGGTTTCAATAAGTGAGACAAAGAGAATCTGAAGATGGGACCTATAGTTCCATTGAATATGGATAAATATAACTGCAAATAAAAGTGTATCATCTCCAGTGGACACGTGAACATCCCAGTTAGAATAGGTCTTCAGCAACCCATTTTTTGTTGTAAGGGGCGACTAACAGGGTCATGTTGTCTGGCTAGCTCTTTCGGTTGATATTGATGCTCATGTCAATCACTGGATTGTCTGGTCGATTATTTACAGACCGCCGTCATATAGCTGGAATACTGGTGAGTGCGGCGTTAAACAACAAACAAACGAATAAACAAATATTTTCGCTGATTCAGTGTCAGCATCTATGGTGGAGCTTTTCAATATGTTCATCAAAGGGTTATTTGGCAAGCGTGTGCAAAAATATATAACTTATATTTAATTAAGATCTGTCTTTTCATAATTATACCGTCGGTGGGATAGCATTGTCCTATATATGTTCGCTGATAACCCTCAATTCCCCGCATGTGTACACGTCGTCTTACTCCAAGAACTGAATGATAAGTCCATAGATCTTTATTAATTCTATCTTTATAATAAGCAAGTCTAGATTAGACGTAATGCAGACTATTATAGGGACATCTTGGTATTATTATTTATATAATCTTGGAATTATGATTTAAACTACACTTGTGCAAGTCTAGTGTACATTGTATAATCAGAGTTCAGAGTTAAAGAGGCGGAAACACCAAAAGAACTCACTCGCTTGTTACAGCACAAACACAAATCAAAGGAACAAATTAAATATTTAAATCTCAGCAAATAAACCCAACAGAATAAAGACTGGTTATGTCTTTGAATTATTAATAATCTCAAGATTGATAAGCATTCATTATGACTGAATAATCTGCAATATCGCGCTCGGCAGGTGTTATCTCACAATCAACAGGCCGTATTGCATAAGCCATATCTTCTTCCTCAACACCAAGCAGCGATCATGCCGCCTCCAGTGCTTTGTTTGTACATTGGTCTTTAGGTTTGATTACAGCCGTGTGAGACGTAACACAATCAGCAAGACATTACGTCAAGACGGATTTCCCCGATCCCAGAAGGAACTGACCACGGACAAGAATAGCGATGACCAAGTTACAATCTGCAAAGACAACAAGGCTGCCAGTTTCCGTGCTTGTTGCGTAACATGCATGCACACAACACTCTTTGTGGCGGCTGGATGCGCTGTGTGACGGCCAATGTCCGGCCGCCCCAAGAGGAGAGTTCAGCACGGCACGTCCTCCTGACAAGAGCATGGTCATGATGGGATCCCCGCCCTCCATCCCACAACCCTCCACCTCCACTAGCAGATTCACAACATCCACACCTGCACGCAAAACAAGCAACAATACGCCCGCCACAACCCAACCCGGCACCATACAAACCACAGCCGCTATGGCAACAACAACCGATCCCAAGCAATCACAACCCGAAAACCCAGACAGTAAGGAAACCACATCCAGACCCCTACCACAAACACAAGCACGCACGCAAACCACCCCCATGGAATGTGAGGAAACTAAACTTAACAACACAGAAGAATATGAATGCACTTAACCATCCTTCTCGCATACATGCTAAAGGAAATAAACCCAAACGCTAGCACTAAAGCTTTCTATACCGTAGCAAATAAGCTTAAACTGACAACCCTTACCTACGAATTCTTCAGCATAGGCCTCGAATTAGTTAGCCCTACCTCAACCAAGTAAAAACCCCTAGCCTAAATCAAACCTAACCTCCAAACACTAAAAGCCCAAATAATGGAAGGCCTAAACATATTTCAGTGGAATGCCAACGGACTAAATTCCCACGGCCACGAACTGAAAGCAAAATTTAAACAAGAAAAGGGTCCGCACATTGCCTGCATCCAAGAAACCAAATTCTCAAAAAAATCTAAATTTACTCTACCAAACTACAACTCAGTTAGAACAGACCGAGCCAAACCTAAAACCGCTAGAGCCGCAGGAGGATTAATAATACTAATCAGAGAAGACATTAACTATGAAGAAATCAAAATAAACACACCAAACCTAGAAGCAAACGGCATCCAAATAACTCTCAAAAACCAAAAAATAAACATCATTAACATATACCACTGGGCAGAACAAAAAATTCTAACTGAGGACCTAAACAAATTACTCCAAATAAGCAATAAATCAACTATATTCCTAGGAGACTTTAACGCTCACCACCCCACCTGGAGCATAGATGAAAAAATAGATAATCATGGCAAACTAATCTCTGAATGGATAGAAACAAATAACATTGTACTCCTAAACAATAACCAACCAGCTAGATACGATAAGAAAAACTATAAAATGTCGGCTATCGACCTAACCATATGCACCCCAGATCTGGCCCAAAATACTCAATGGGAAGTTCACGACGCCCCACTAGGTAGTGACCACTTCCCTATAAACATAACCATAGGCAATACAAACGTTCCTACCCAAACAGAAAACCTAGAACCAAAATTCAACTATAACCAAGCTAACTGGGACAAATTTCAGGATATCTGCAACCAAGCCAACCTAACCAAACTAGAAAATAAGGACCCAGAAATCTACTGCAAAAACCTAACAGACTACATAATTAACGCAGCCAAAGCATCAATACCTTATAAAACAAATAACGTAGGCAAACCCTCGGTACCATGGTGGAACGAGGAAATAGAACAAACTAGACGCAAACGTAAAACAGCCTTCAATAGAACCAAACG